CATGCTGTGGTCGCAGACTTTGGTGGTGAGGCCAAACTATTTGTCTTATAGAACCACAACCAAACAAGTCAAAACAAAATGTTTTTTACCACATATCTGGCATTGTTTTCAGTTAGGGAACGAACTTCAACCTCAAAGTTTATGCTTCTCCCAAATCCCCAGAAATAAAGGTTTTGCATCAGAATAGATATTTCCTGTGAAAACTAGCTATAGCTATAGATAATGTAAATAAAGATAATACTCAGTCAGTAGTCACGTTAAAGTTCTGAAATGCAGACACAAGCAAACACTTAATGAGTGTAGATAATGAGTATTTAAGTAGCTATCTGAAACCATAATGCAACTTTTACTTTGATGCAGAATCTCGTTTCCTTCAGTCTGTGGATGAGGACAACATGACAAAGCAGCCAGGGGTCAGTATTTCATCTCTACATACTGTAGATTTAGAGCCTTATTTACTATACATGGGGCTGTAGTACACTATTGTCTCCTCAGCACTGACAGTGTGGTGTGTTGTGAGTGTGTTATTTGTTGTCGTTCAGTCTCTGCACACACCTGCCATCAATTATCGCTCTGCTAAAAACTGCCGTGATGCAGATTTTGAGCTGAATCATCTGTATACAGAGTGCTTGGACTGCAGTTTTGTGCTAAGTGTGCTGCATCTCTTGGGAGATGTCTGTTGTGCGAAACCACTTGCCCTTGCTGGGACACAGTGTTTTAGGCAGTAATTGGGCTTCATTGTGTGTGCGTTTGTGGTCTATGATTTATTTCTTTAACATCCTACATCAATATTTGGTTTCCTGTGTGTATCAGATGATAATAAAAGTGCCTCTTTGTGCAGAACCTGCGCTGGATGGCTCCTGAGGTGTTCACACAGTGCACTCGGTACTCTGTAAAAGCAGACATGTTCAGCTATGCCCTCTGTCTGTGGGAGCTGCTCACTGGAGAAATACCTTTTGCACATTTGAAACCAGGTAACGTTTGGGTTTTGGGGGGGTTTATATGTATTTATTTACATTTCCTATAGGTCTAATTTTTCTTTTTCTCTAGTAATGTTACAATTTGAGAATAAATAGTACTCCATGATGAGGTTTTGAAATGTGTGTTACTGTGTGTTGTAGCTGCAGCGGCCGCAGACATGGCCTACCATCACATACGGCCTCCTATTGGTTACTCCATCCCCAAACCCATCTCTGCACTTTTGATGAGAGGCTGGAACTCGTCCCCAGAGGTACTGCACAATAACAAGAAATTATATTAACCATGAACATGACATTACTTTTTAATTTCTTCAACAAAAGATAATTAAGACAAATTGGCTTGGAAGATGAGCCATTGTGCATGCCCAGGAAAAATAAAAAGAACAGCCATTTCCCCTGATAACGCGTTGCTGCCGGTGCATAAACAGTGCAATGACGTTCATAATTGGCGAGGAATGTATGCTTGGCCTAATTAAGAGTCAGGATGCGTTGGCTGTGCTAGCGTAGTAGCGACTTTGGTACTACACTCCTCCTGTTGCCAGCTCTCTTATCTCAAAATGGCCTCCCTGGGTAATACACTTGTCCCACTGAAACGTTTTGAAAATTTCCTCAGAGCTTAATAGGCTTTCACTATGGCAGTTTAGTTTTTTAAGTGTTCACATGGGATTTAGGTGGAGCCTGTTGATAAGTGTTTGTCATGTAAACAATGGATTAAATGGTCAAACATGTTTTACATACATGGTGTAAAAATCCACATATCAGGTAAATAAAATACTATTTGTGTTACTGAGGTCCATATATGCATTATGAATATCATGTTCAGGACATGTTTGTCTAGTTTAAGCCTCACCATTAGCAAATGTGCTAATAGGGCCCAGTGTTCTTTTCCCAAAGGCCTCACCAGCTGCCTTTTGTGGACTACTGTCACTTTAAGTTTGAAACTTGATGTGTTTCACAAATTGTGTTTTCATGATATTTGTGTAGCTTGTTTCATGTATTTTTAGGAGTGTGTTGTCATCTTCTGCCCACTGTTTGTGGGTATGATGTATAATGTAAAAGCACCTGGATCATGGCCTCTCTGTGGATGTGGACTGAGAGAGCAGAGCTGCCTTTGAAGCCTCTTCCTGCTGTGTGGACCAAATGACCGCTGCTGCACAGGGCACACCTGTGTATTATTGTTTTGTTTTATTTTTCAGGACAGACCTGAGTTCTCTGAAGTTGTATCAAACTTGGAGGAATGTCTTTCCAATATTGAGGTATACTTAAGTTATTATGCTTATGGTCATAACAATTACTGTATGTGCTCAAGTCAATGCAATTCACAGCATGTACATTAAAATAAGTAGTATTTATTATTTATAATAAAAAATATATACTTAAAGTTTCTATACAGGGCCAATTCAAATTTTGCTCAAAAATGCTCCAATTATGACATCAACAGAAAGTAAAAATGACTTGTATCACAAGTGGGACCTAAGACATTTGTTGTATATGCTGCACACATTTACAGTAGTTGCTTATGTTGTTATTTCATTTTGCAGCTGATGTCGCCTGCCTCCAGTAACAGCAGTGGCTCCCTGTCCCCCTCCTCATCGTCGGACTGCCTCGCAGCTCGAGGAGGTCCAGGGCGGAGCCATGTGGCAGCCCTCCGCTCTCGCTTTGAGCTGGAGTATGCCCTTAATACACGTGCATACGCCTTCTGGTCTCAGAGGTAAGAACACTTCAGGCCAGCCTTGGACCTAGAAGGTTGAGGAGCAGCACTTTAGATTTGTCAAAGAGGAGCTACTTTAAAAAGCAAAGGAAGAACCAAACAAAATATTATTTGGTATAACATTATCATAGTGTCCTCTTTTTGTGATATATTTTTTTTTTTTTTTTTTTTTTTTTTTTTTTACATTTAAGCCAAATTGGATTAGAGTATTTCTTAAACTGTAGATTTTGTGAGCTATTGCAATCAATTAAAAGTACTAAACCAGCAAACAGTTAAGGAGTTAAGACTAATCTATGATCTGGTCAATAATTTTGTTACTGTTCACTGAATATGCTAACTAAAGGCATCTCCTGTAACAGTAAATGTCAGAGTTTCCCAGCAACTAAATAACAACAAAACAAAGGAAGGCTGTAAAATATGTATGCTGTGACCAATAAGAAAGACGTCTTATTGTGAGCTGATGTATTGTGGTAACAGTCACTATGAGACTGCCTGGTATGTGGTGCTAGTGACTCCTACTACTACAATGACAGGAATGGGATCTATTAAACCTTAGCCACATTTTGTCATTTAGGCTCCATGGGCAGGAATGACAAAGAGCTTATATAGGCTGTAGATATTGTGGCCTGCCCATCAAAAGCAGTCATAAATATTGAATAATGTTTACCACAGCTGAGAAAGTGAGAGTGGACCAGAGGATCTCATATTACACAGTATCCAGCTTCATCTTGCTTCCTGCATGTCAAAGAACCACAGTATGTCTTTTAGGCTTGTATTGTCTTTCTGTTCAATAAGACATAGTGGTGTTTTACTGCAGTGAGAGAAGGAGGGCATCAGGAGGCCTCACACTGGAGGAGCTCAGAAGAAGCATGCAGTTCTCTCCAATTGATCGAAATGGTTGGTCTCCCAATACATTATCTTAGGTGCACTATGAAACTTTTCCTGTTGGAGGTTTGCCACCTGTTTACTCATGCAGCTGTTTTGCTTTGCCTATAATGCTACATAGCATGGCATTAAACTCATCTCTCTTGTATGTATTCAATAAAAGGTGTTTTTATTGCTAAGGAATACAATGGAAAACATTAGTGTGAGTGGGCTTGCCTGTTCACAGATTTGATCTGTAACTGGGCCTATTGGTGCCACCTTCTTGTCTCCATGATAGATAGGAATGAGAAGCATTCTAGGCAAAGCAATACATATCTTCACACAAACAGGTGTCAGACCTTCCACCATAAAAGTTACATGGAGCCCTTTAAAAGTTTTTCTTGTCGTTTTCATGTTTGTTGTTGTTTTTTTTATGCTTTTTTAGGTTATGTATCTGATCCCATGAGCACCATGAGATTTTCCTCCCACTTCAGCAGCAATGGCAGCTTTGAGGACAGTAATTAAGCTACAAATTATATTTTACTTTCAAATTCATTTTCTTGCAAATGGACTATTGGTATGTACATACAACTGCTGTTTTAGGGTTGGTAGCATGCAGTACATTACTATTGCCTAAGTAGTTATTTAAGTGCAACGTGGAAGATCAATGGGTCGTGCCAATTTTAAAATTTTGCTTAGAACTCAATAGGAATTTTGTTATAACTAGCTAAGCTAATGTGAATATGTTACAGTATGTATACTTTATGTATTCTTATTTGTATTGTGTCATTTGTGAGTGGATTTGTATTCAACTTAAAAACACAAACTGATATTTTAACCACTTTTTATTCCTAACATTGCCAACGTTGAATCTTCAGTTAATAAATAAATAATTAAATATTGCCTTGTAAGTGCCAAAGACAAAATCCTAAAGCTTAATTCACTTTCATACTATTAGGAAACATTTAGAGGTAACATTAGAATTAGCAGCATAGACACACTGACATCTGATGCCAGCAGTTTAGGCATACATAAATGGAAACACAGTTGTATAAAGGTAACATTGTCATGCAGCCAAAGTGCCACTTATCAAAGATGAAATGTCAAAATATTGTGCTTTTGTGCAATAAATCCATCAATACAAAAGTCGGTACAGTGTGACTGGAGCAAAAGCAGCTATGGGAGTCTCACAAGGATGAATTATTGATACATTTGTGAGCATGAGAGGCAGGATCTGTTTACAGGTAATAGATGGCTCTACTCTATCCCTTACATAGACTATTCCCCTTTGTCAACAACAATGGGAAGAGATGATCTAGTCTAAACAGGCCGCATTCACAACCCATTATGTAGGTCATTAGATAATTATGCTTTATAAAGCCAGCACAGAAAGTCCAGAGGATTTAAGGCCACTTTGTCAATCAGTCTCGCTTCAGCCTGTCAATTCAAACTATAGAGTGGCTTTTAGGTCCATTCTCCGCTTTGGCGGTCGTGACTAAAGGAAATGAACTATGTCCAAACACAGAGTCGTCCACGGAGAAGGTGCTCAGATGTTCTTTACTCACAGTGTGGTTAGACTCGTCCGTAATATCTCTTTTATCTTCACTGAAGCTGTTGGTTTGAATTTTAATCGACCCCTGTTGACTCCCACTGTCCGACTTTGATGACGTAAACTGTGTTGTTACCCTCATTTCTTTGCTTTCTCTGTTTTCCTGTGTCCCGTCACTGGTTGCGGGTTCAATTGCTTTTAAACTGTTTTCTAGAAGCTCCTCTGTTTTCACTTCTTGTATTACAGTTATAGCTTCTTCTTTCCCAAGATCGCTCCTGTTCTCTTCGTTCAGACTTTCAGAAACTGTTTCATGTTTTCCACTTGGAATAGACAGGTGACTACTTGTAATGCTGGTTCTGGTAAGGTTGTTGTTAAGCTGTGCAAAGCTACCATAATTTCTTTCTACTTCTAATGCTGATTGGTCCACTTTGTCCTCAACAGACTTTAGACTTTCTTCAATTACAGATTCTTTCATATTTTCCTCATTTTCAACATTTGGTACATGTATAACTTTCCTCTCCTCTGACTGTGCTAGATCTTTGGTTGATACATCTTGTTTACCTTCAGACTGGTTACTCCCATGATCAGAAGATTCCTCTTTGGTTTCATTTTCTGTACTGGTCCCTTTCTCTCCATCTTTCACCATTTTCACTGGACTTTCAGATCTAGACAACTCTTCTGACTCAGTATTTGTTGCTTCAGGATTCAGGTCTCTTATTTCCTCCAAGGGTTCAACAAATGTTTCAAAATACTTGGACGTTTGATGCATGGTGACCCAGTTAGTGACTAGATCAGAGCTGTCAGCTGTAGTCAATCCTTCTGGCCTACCTTTCGGTTCGGTTTGCTCATTTTGTTCATTTAAAGAGGACTTGGCATGGGGCTTTAAGAGCACACTCGCTCCCTCCTCTGATGCTTTACTAGCTTCTTCTGTATCTCCATTTTCCCCTTCAACCGCAAAGACATCCACTGCAGCCACCTGTTCTCCTACGGGTTTGTCAGAATTGGACTGTGCGGTCTCCAAATTGTTGTTGTTTTCTGTTGTATCTGAATCTTTGCTTGTAGTTTTAACAATTTCTTCTTGATTTGAAGGAATACTTGTCACATCGTTGATATCGCTTTCATTGTTGTCATTTGCCAGTTTTAAATCACTTTTCTCCTCTTCTTTTTCACTTTCTTCCACTTGAGTTACACCATCGCTTTCCTGAGTTGTGTTTTCAGTTGTTTGTTTTTGCTCGTCTTCTTCAGTTTGCTTTGTCTCTGCAATAACTGACACCTCTCCATTTTCTGCATCCACTTTACTCACGTCAACCTTATTAACAATACTTTTATTCTCTTTTTCATGTTGGTCGGCCTCTTCAGCACTTGCTCCCTCATCAGATTTCCCATTTTTCTCTGTCAATTCTACACTGACCTTCTCTGCATTTGGTTCTTGTCCCTCCTCTTTTTGAATAGCGCTTTCTTGGTTTTCCAGTTGGGCCTGTTTCTCGCCTGCATCGTTCATAACTTCACTCTCTGACTGTTGAACGTCTTCTTCATTTTTTGTAATATTTTTCTCATCCTCACCAACATTTTTCTCTTCACTAGCATCTCCACTTTCTATCTCATCAGTTTCTGCCTGTTCTAATTCTTCCTTTTGGTTTGTCACTTTCTCACCTGGAGCATCTTTCTGATCTTCTGCGTTCAAATCTGTCACCACTTCTTTGTGTGCTTGCTCATTTTCTTCTTTTATAAGTTCTCTTTCTGGTTTATGGTCTTCAACATCATCTTTCTCACTTTTAATCCCTTCATCCTTATCCTGTCCATCTGTGTTTGAATTTGTTCCTACTTCTTCTTTTGCTATATCCTCATTTACGTTTTCAATTTGACTCTCTCTGTTTTCTTCATTACCCTCTTCTTGCATTTTTTCCTCATCACCCTCATTCAAATCAGATTGCTTCTCCACTTTATCTTCCTCCATTTCAGCCGTTACTCCAACTACTTCTTCAGTCTCTTGATTCTCCACTACAGGCTTCTCATTACCATCTTGATTAATAGTCTCATCTTTTGCACTGACTTCACTCTCCAGCCCTGTGTTTTCCATTGCATCCTGCTGCTCATTGTTTCCCTGTGTGTCTGAAGCAGGTGCTACTTCAGTGTTGATAGCCTCTTGTGCATCAGAGGCCTCAGTTTTCATCTCCATTGTTTCTGAGACCGCCAGTGGTTCTGTATGGTCGGCCTCCACGGTCTCGTCTGGCTTATCCACTCCTGATGACTCATGCTCCTTTTGAACACTTCTTTCCTCCTGCTCTTCCTCCTTCTCATCCTCCTTCACTTCATCTTTCTCTGCTTCTTTGTTCGGATCGTCTTTAGTTGGCGAGCTCTTAACATCTTCCACTATCTCCTCAGATGCCTCCTTCTCTCCTGTGTCCTCATTCTTACCCACTTCTGACACAGTTTTTTTGGCGCTGTCGTCATTTTGTGCTGTGTTAACATCAGTCATTTCCTCTGGTTCTTTTGTAGTTTCAGGTTTCAGGTCCTCAGGTTTAACCTCTTCTGTCACCACTATTAAATCAGTTTTCTTTTCTTCTTCAGTAGCATTTGCTTGTCCTGTAGGTGCTTCAGTCACTGGCTCTGCAACTAAAGCACAAAACATGAGAAAATGATACTTTAGTATTTTAAATTTTTCAAGTTTATTATGATATAAATAGTGTACAACCTTGTGGTTCTTTTTCTGTGGACTTGTTTGAGCCTGCTTCTGTGGTCTCTGTGCTGGTGTCACTAAGCTCAGGCTCAGAGCTGCAGTGAGACTCCTTCAAAATGGCCTCTGCTAACTTCTCCTGCACAGATTTGGCTTAGGAAAGAAACATTAACATGTAAATGTAAATGTGACAATTTTTCAGCAAAAACTCAACTCACATCAAATAATACACAAGGAAAATGAAAAGAACACTCAACTCAAGTGAGAAAGCCAAAGATATTTAATACAAAATATCCTTAATGTCACACTGTGAAAACAGAACAGCAAAGCTCAAAATGCAACATCAAGCAAAATACTATACATCAGAAGACTTAATGAACCTAATCAGACTCTGAAGAAGCATGTATAACATAATATAACTGTAATATGGCACAGCATTGGCTTCCAAATTTGCAACAGGGTTAGTGTCAACTCTTTGAAGGATATTTTTTGGCTGTTGCAAAGATGTGTTATAGTAATACACTGAATCCACAGAATGCATAAGAAAGCAATTCAAACAACAACAAAAAAATAATACAAATAATGTTTAAAACAAAGGATAGCCTTAAAACACATGCAAACACACACACATTTTCCACTATTATAATTCCATGTATAGGCTCACCATTGTTGTAAACATAGAGAACTAACTATATTTTATCTGTATTTACTTTTTTTTTTATCAGCAGAGCCAAAAGTCACATTTATTCTCTAAAATGATTCAAATATGAATGGTTTGGGCCGCCATAGTCTCTTATATGTGTGTATAAACTTGTGGGAAACACTGCATTTGGCCCTGGTCTATGTTGGGTGTATTTGTGATAATAGTGGAAAGTGTCACTCAGAGGGGCTTTCCTGTGCCCCTTCCTCTGCCACCAGCTCTGCCCCATTCTCAGCCCCAAACTCACCCCTCTCTGGCTCCTCCTCTGTCCTCCTCTCACCCTCTGCTGCGGTCTTCGTGTCACTCACTGTTCTGGTCTCGTTTCCTGATGGATTGCTGGTGTCAGTGATCTCTATCTCCGTGCTTTGTCCAGCGCTGTCCTGTATGCCTCCAGACCCAGACTCCACCGCCACATGTTGTGTCTCCTCCTGCACCTCCTCCTGCACCTCCTCCTGAGCATCTTCAGGCTTGTCTTGTGTCTCATCTTTGGCCTCTTTGACCTCCTCTGTTTCACTCTCCTCTCTGTCACTGCCTGAAAAACTGGACCTCGAGCATGACTTTCTATCATCTGTAAACATAGAAAACAGTGCATTGACACAGCTATTGTTGTTACATCTTATTCTCAGGCTGGATTAATAACAACATAATTACAACAACAACATAAACATAAAATACTTTGAGTTTAAATATTGTTGTAGCCTTTGTGGCCTATGACACATATTCCACCATTTTTTCCACTATTAACATATAATACTATAATAGCAATAAAAGATAGGACTATAATCTCCAAACTAAATCAGATCAATACTAAATAATTTTAACATACAAGCAAAGATTAACGCATTAAACAACATCTTAACTTTTCTCATATCCATGCAGTATATATTCAAAGAGGTTTTTTTGGATGTTACAAGTGGTTCATTGTGGTATAGTTTCTTGTGTTTGTATTGCCTACCGTCTCGCTCACTATCTCCACTGTCAGTTACATTGGTTTCTTTTACTCTTTCTTCTTTTTCCTCATTTGGAGAAGCAAGTTTCTTTTCTTTTTCCTCTTCAATGGGGCCTTCATCATCAGCTTCAAAGTCTTCTTCATAATCTATCAACGGAAATTTGTAATTGCTTCTTTAAAGTATATTTTCTTCATAAAATTCTTAAATGTTGATGTTTTGTTTACCATCTTTGGCTTTACTGTCTTCAGGTGCCTTATCCTCGTCTGCTGTGATCTCTGTGTCTTTTCTCGGGCTGGTCTCACACTCAGAGCGGGATGCAGGATCTTCTTTCGTTACTTCTGTGTCGGGTCCTGTGGTAACCGTCAGTCTGGGCACAACCCCCACTTTAAAGGCATCCTCCTTTGCTCTTTTGGGAGGGGGAACAGGCTTTTTGTCCAAACCCATAGCTATAATGCATCTAAATGATCAGAATTAAGTAAACTAAATAATTATTAACATAAATAAATACTATTTTTATAGAAAAGCATTTTGTTGCATAAAATAAGTTTTAAAAGTTATTTTACAAAGCCTGGACAAAATAAGAAAAAATAATAAAGGTAAATTAACAACCTAATATATTAATAGAAAGGCATTCATCCAGAATGCAAAGTCCCTAAAGTTTGATTTAAAACATCAACTACATCAAGTTGAATAGAATAGCACATCTGCATAGCAAAACTGGAAACAGTACCACACGAGGACCTTGAAAACTTGTTTCTAAACATTTAAAGTTGTCAATCTTTCAAAGCATTTCTCACTTGTAACATGGTGACGCTGCCTCAATCCCGGAGAAGGCAAAATGTCCGTGGCGCCCCCCAAGGCGAGAGCTTTTCCTGTGTTTGAACTCACAGCAGGAGCTGAGCCGCTCGACCTGCAGCCCATTTAAAAAGAAGGTCAGACTGAAGGGGAAGCCTCTGTGACGACGAGAAATAAACTGGAAACTCTCTGAAGGAAAAGACAAAGTAAACTTCAGGTAAGTTTTGTAAAACTGTAAATTTAAGGGGTATTATGTAACTTCTTTAGAGAAGAATACGCTTCATACTTTCATAGCATGGCATTATCTTGCATTTATTCAGTTACCAATGTTTTTATTGCTTTAAAAAAAGTACACTGAAAAAATGCATTATTTCTCTTATAACTTATAACTCCTCTCCTCTGACTTATAACTTGCCCATGTCTCATTGGTGTCACAAAACAAAAACTTATTACAATAATAAGTAATGGGTTTAATACCAACTTCAAGACTGCAATCATAACTAGAAAAGCACTCAGAGAGCGCAGACCTCCGCCAAGGACTACCCCCATTTTTTATATAAATTGCGATAAAATCAGTCTTCTGGATCAGATCCGGATCAGCCTTTGGAATATGAAAGAGGATCCCATTGTCCATCCCTGAGTCAAATTTCATGGGGTTTGGTCAATAATTAACCGAGATATTGAAAAACAAAATTTTTGGCCCCATTTACCACAATGTTAACTAAAATTTCAAAGTGATCCAGAATCCAGGATTTCTTCCGGATCACCCCCAAAATGAAATCAGTTCTTCCTTTTCACATTTCCAAATCACATCAAAATCGGTCCATAACTTTTTGAGTTATGTTGCTAAGAGACAAACAAACAAACAGACAAACGCCAGCAAAAACATAACCTCCTTGGCGGAGGTAATAATAACCACTATTAGCTGTATCAGTTTTGATAATAGTTTTCACATTGATTAGTATCTGGGTATGTGTTTCTGATAGCCATAGCTCTCATACTGGTATAAGATAGTGAGCGCACTGACCTCCCTCTTTGAGTTTTCCCTTGTACACACACAGGTTCTCTCCTCCGCAGTGCTGCTGAAACACTCGCACCTCATCTCTCATGTCGGGCAGGTCGTGTGACAGGTGCACAGATTTACCCATATACACCATGTTCACACGGACTCTGCTCTGAGGCATCGAGCTCCTCAGCACAGGGGCATCCTGCAGAAAAACACATGCACTCTAAATATAAACAAACTGCATAAGGTTTAAGGCATGTTTACTCTTAACCACAGTCTTGAAACTAAATGGCCAGTTTCTTTTTGTCTAAATCCATTGCTAAAAGCAGAGCGAATAACATGGAGTATGTGCTTTTCCATTGAAATATGAAATTAATACTTTTATTATAAAGGTAACAATAACGCTAATTTACTCAATACAATACAATGACATTCCCAAGGAGACAAAAAGGTAGTGGACTGTCCACCAGGAAAGTTACATATTGCATTCTTAATAGAAACTTTACAGCAATCATTATGCACATCACCTCTAGCACCCTTAAGAATACCCTAGACATGTTTAACAAATGTTTTTTTAAATTTTTATTTATTTATTTATTTTTAATAATGAACCCAAAATGCCCAAGTTTGTTGTTGAAAGTCCTGTTGTCGGGGAAAACCTTTAATAAAGCTTGTACCTCACTGACGTCAGCCCCACTGGAGGCGGTGGTGGGGCGCAGTCTCCGGCCCCTATGGATGCTGCTGGTGCTAAGCTTGATGGGGCGATCTTTCCTCTTGGTGGTGGGGGGCACAGGGGTCACATAGTTGTTGATGACCGGGAGGCAGTAGGGAGACACCCCATTACGAACCTCCATAGAGTTAAATTTTCTGTGAGAGTCTTTGTCTACCTGAGAGAGAGATGTCAGTGCAGTTTTTATCAGTGGGGAATAAAAACATATGGACAAAAACATCTGGTAAGTTGAAAACTATTACAAGGCCTACAATCCTCAAAAATGTATAATGTCACAATCAAAATTAACATAAAAAACATAAATTGTTTCAGTTTATTCTAAGTAATAATCAGTGCTCTGTATAATAAGCATTTTTCCCCTTTTTACTTGACTGTGTTGTTATTGTTGCTGTTGTAACCCAAGCCACCATCATCTTCTAAGTTAGTCCGAGGAATTCTGCAGCTCTTATGGAGTCTGTCCATAGAGATCCCACATGGAGACCTGGTGGTTCTGGCTTTGCAGGGCGGGTGAAGAGGTGCTGTGTTGTATGAGATGTTCAGCCACACTCTGGACAGTTGTCAGTGATGTTAGTGTCAAGTGACTGAGTTATGAGTTCATACCTCAGTTATTTGATTCTCCACCATTTAAGTGAATTGCTATACACCTAAATAGCTGCAATAATTGAACACAAAAGAGTGCTCAATTTATTGACAAAGTGAAATGCCATTACCATTATGTAGCCATTTTTAAATATTTAGTAAGTCCATTTATGCTTAAATATTAATGTCCCTCTAAAATAGCAGCATGTGTTTGTCTGGGGCACATCCTGTTCTGGAATGAGGTGAAAGAATGAATGAGCTCGAGTGTCGTGGCCTTACCGTCCCGTTGAATTGGCGCTGGTTGTCATGGTGATGGGCGTGGCCTCGGTAAGGGGAGCTCTGTCTGTGTGAGGCCGTGGTGCTGTTGCTGTGAAGTGGCTTTAAACGCACCGGGCGCTGCATCTTTCCAGGAGCCGTGTTGGGACGGGACGAGCCCGGCTGAGACAACAAAGGAATGTCAACAAAGGAGCAGGGACATACAAAGCAGAGAAAGCATAAAGATAAGAGGACAGTAGTACACTTGTTATATTTTTAACACTATCTATAGCCTATATCTCATAAAATCTCTGGAATAGTGGTCTCTACATAAGAACTATACTCTGGAATTGTCTTGTCACAGTTTTTTTCACATTGGTTTCCAAAGATAATTAAAAACAGCAATTTTGCCATTGGATTTTTTTTTTTTTAATCATCAATAAAATTTTCAAATGACTATCTAGTTTTGATACTAGTATTAATAATGTATTAATTTTTATGTTGCTGTTTGTAATTTATTAAAATATGACAAATATAAAGTTCAAATAGCAGAATATTAACTTACTTTTACCTTACTATTGTCATTTATTATTGAACTTCTGCGATGGCCAGTACAACAAAAGCAATACTAACTTTTTATTAAGAACTTTTTACCCTGATTCTTGCTTTAAAGTGAACAAACAGTTTGATGCTGGTTGAGAAGGGTAAGACTTTGATGAAAATATGAACTTAACATTTGTAAGAAGTAAGGACTTAAAAACATCTCTTAACAATATTGTAGCTGATGATGAAAGTAGGACTCTTAAACAGCACCACAGGCGTCTGACCCACACTTCTGCAGTCAACTAAATTATACAAATTGGTGTGGAAAGAGCTCTTAAGTAAAGGTCACATTTTAAACTCAGATTTCTCATAGGTGTAATAGGTGTTTTAACCATGCAGTGACATTTAAAGCCTCCCTCCTCTTTACCTAATGGAGACATTATAATTACTGTTGCACTTCAATCAAGGAGCTGCTATAACACTATGGAAAAGTGTTCATTAATTGTAGTGTTGGACTTACAGACTCTGAGGACTCTGTGTGCTCAGCCTCTGGTCCTGAGTGCTGCTTCCTGATGCCCCTCGCTCCGGTAGGTGGCCGGGGGGACAGGATGCGGATGATGTCCTCTTCAAATCTTTTGGACCGTTCCACCTCAAACAACAATTACTCAATGATACTCAAGGCATTTGCACTAGAATCACTGTGGAGGTAGATCTAATGTGACAGAGGTAACAAATAGTAATAAATACACAATTTCTAGTGGTGCACCATCCCATTTGTCATCATGAATACTCATGGAAACAAGCAGGTAAAGGCAAAGCAACAGGTCAGGTTGCTGCTCTTTTAAATTTATATAACAGGAAATCAAATGAGAGAGCAGGAAGATAATGAATTATAAGTAGATTTGGGGTTTGAATCCAGCATGTGGATGTGAAGTTCATACTAAATCAACTTCTGTTGTGTCTACCTGCATGAGGGCCTGCAGTAAACTACACCATTTGTAGCTATATAGTTTAAAAATAGTACCTTGATCTTGTGCACCCTCTCCCTCCGCGCAAACTCCTCCAGTTTGCGTTTGATCTCTATTTGATGGAGACGCTGGAGACACATAAACATAATTTAACATAATTTAACATGCAGAGAGAGAGACAGAGATATGTCCAAAGCTGTCCAACTGTACCTCCATCTCCAGCACTTTGTGGAAAATGGCCTGAGCCAGACATTCTCGGACGTGTCTCTGGTGGGCTTTTTGGATCAGCTTCTGCCTGTACTCTTTGTCAGGAACAATACGCCCGCTTCTTGTAATCTAATAATAACAGACATTTATTTGAACTAAAAAATAATTAAATTAAAATGTTTAGATGTCAGGTGTTACCAGGCCAGCCCTCTGCAGGTGTCTTCTGATGCGAGTGTTGCTGAAGTATCCGGCGAGATGTTTATCTGTCAGACTGTTGTAGGCTGAGATGAGGCTACAGAGACGAGATAAGGCTGGAATTAACACTGTCGTCCATGGAGTTAATGATTACAGCCCACAACAAATCAAACTCTTAATCACCAGAGCACTGCTAACAACACCATGTTTGTTTATTGACCGTTATCCTGCCCTCTGGATCAGCTTGTCGAAAAGTGGCTTTATTTTTCCTACACAGATTTGATTTCCTGTAGCATTTGTGCACCAGACAACAGGATCTTACAACTATGGCGTCTGTTACAGGTGTCTGCTTACACTGAGGAATTACAGAGATGGCACACTGTTCCTATCATCACTGGCCTGTACTGCCATTTAACAGAAGGTGATAGCTCAATATGCCCAGGTCTGTTTAATAGAACACAGGCTGTAGTCAGACATTATTATGTAATGAAGATAATGAAAGACTGTATCCTCCATGCGTAGATTACTTATTTGGATTTTAATCTGCTGTTGATGACTGTACAGCAAGTAAAATGTAATGTGTAGAGATAAATTAGCTAGTTAAAGTACTTATTTCAAGTTCAATAGGCCTACACTGAGGATGGATACTACCACTGTAGTGCATGTGCAGTAGCTGTAGTAGCTGTAATAATTCAAAGTAGCTGAACTAATGAATGTTGGTAATTACCTATCTACTTAATTTTTCTGAAACACTGATTTAATAATGTTAGGCTTCAACAATTACTTTGATAAAGGCACTTTCTAACATGGCTCAGTTCTATGTTACTAGAACACACACCCCATGATTAGGCCCATATAGGTCCTTGAGAGCAGATTACATGTTACACTGATTAAAGTCAGAACAGAACAACTTGAGAATATCTAGGCATCACGTTGACATAACCACTGCTAAATGAATGGTATGTAGACCAGTGGCAGTTTGCTCCTCTCAATATTGGAATTGGCTTACCCTGCGTTGAGATGGCTGTGGTTCATGATTTTGAGTCCTGTCTCTGCGGGAGGAGCTCTGGGGCTGCAGCCAAAAGCAGACAGGAGTAGTTTGAAGACAACTTGTGAGTTTCCAGCTGAGAGGGCTCGCGCTGCACACCGTTTACGGAACTGATGACACTCGCCGTTGCCATGGCAGGTCATGTGACGATGGCACCAATGAGGCAGGTCTCTGTTTACACCATAGACCGTATCTATACAGTCTATGGTTTACACCGGGCCCGTCACTCTCAGCCCGGATATTCAGAGAGACACCAGCATGGGCAACAGGCTTTAAATAATATTTGTAATAATCCATATGAGACCATAAATGTCTCGAAGGCCTAAAAAACGCAAATTAAGTGTGTAAAGTCGGCTATATTTTATACAAGGACCCAACACTTGGTTGCATTATAGATCTCTCTCTTCACTACAACAGTCACCAAAATCCCACAAGAGCCTCGCTGGTTTGGTCCGTCACATTAAACAAATAGACGCATTATAGCTTATGCCCATGGACAGTAGCACACCCTGGAGATGTGACTCGACTGATATAGGTGCTCTGAGGCCCTCTAGTGGCTGGTTGATATAAGAAACACAAACAATTCTGAAATAAAACAAAATTTGATTCATTGCCATTTAAGTGACCCAATTGTTATATTTATGTAGTCTAATTGGTAGAGTATTTAAAATATACAGGTCTACTAAAATTTTAAAGTTTGCATGAAGTGGCCATATCTTCACGCCATTTTTGAAGCCTATTTTTCATACACAGTTACCGTTAGTTATTGCACATATTGACGTCATGATTTGATTTGACGCAAGTTATGTGCACGTTATAACCAATGTGATCAGTAGGTGGAGCCATATTTCCATTTCAATTAACTGGCTCTCTCCTTTTGTCACGGGACTGAAGAGGAATGAAATGCGTGGTATCTATAATTAAGTTTTAAAATCTTTCTGCTTACGTTGGAATGGATTTTTAAAATGAAATGCTCTCTGTTTGAATTTAGAAAAGCTTTTCTATTTGCCACCTTAATAAGTCTAGTTTTGAATAGCATAATTTGAGCATGATTTAATAGTGTCCAGCTGTTAACAACAATAAAACACTGAGATAAGCAGGGGTGAGGGCAAATACAAGCTCTGATAATTATAACGAGACCAGACTGGCCCTGAAAAATCTTAAATAAAGTTTCAGTTCATTTGTGATTTTCTGATCTATGTTATGTGTCGTTTCCTCATTAAAAAAAACACACAAAAAAACATGTCCATGCACACACCCTGCATATTTAGAGTTCTTCTCTCAAACTGAAAATGCTCTATTCCACCTTGTGATGTCATGTGGTAAAACAGGAAGTGCCCCACTGTATCTTTAAACTCCATACACTTTCACTAGAGTTATTTGGGTAATTTCAACCCTGGAATTATGAATCTCTGTTACACAAAAGTATGAGGTAGGTGCTAACTTGAAAACTACCGCCCCATAACGTCACAAGGTGGAACAGAGCATTCTGAGCTTCGGCGGTGTAAACAAACTAATACAGGATTACTCAAACATGTGTGAATGAAACAGAACTCATGTTTCTGAGGAGGCATCATAGCATTATAACATGGCTTAAAGCTCACAAGAGTCAATTTTGCATAATATAGGACCTTTAAATATATTACATTACCCCTTGTTTAATTTATTACTAGACTTTGCTGTAGAATTTAAACAATAGGCCATTGGGCCTTAAGTGAGGGAGCTTGTTCTTAATATTAAACGATCTTGACATGGAGTGTGCTTGTTCGAGGGTCTGTTCACACCTGCTACCCTTCAAAACCCTCCTATTTCTCTCCAAAAGACCAACCAAAAATAAAATAAAATCTGTACTGGCTTATTTTGGTAACACTAAAAGATAAAATGTTCATGTTCTTTTCAGAGTATTGCAGCAATGCATGATTTTTAGAACAGAACCAATTAATTACTATCACATAATTAAAGAAATCTAACAATGATCATTTTATATTTTGCAGATCTTTCCTGATTTTTTTGCTATATGATCAGAGCAACAATGGACACGCAACTATAGGTTCCAAACTGCAGGTAAATTGACTGGTACTCATTAAAACATTCCTTTGTTCATTAAACTGGTGCAAGTGAGATGGCCTTCAATGCTCGTCATAAACACAGTAATCAAAGCTGCACTAAACGCCTAATACAGAGTAAATCTTAAAATAACAATTAGTGTTGAAAAATAGGAGGTGATTATAAATTCCATTCAGGAAAAGGTCTTGGCGGTGAGCTTGGGGTGACGGGGGGGTTCTTAGGGAGTCATGCAGTTTACAGATGGGGGGAGGAGGGGGAGGAGGCGGGTTTTGCAATCAGTGTTAAATAGAGCCGTTTTGTGCCTGTGTGATTGTCAAGTGGGCTATTACTGCTTGATAAGAGCACTTTTTCCTTATGTGGCTCTGATTGGGGCTGCGCACGCTGCTCCCCTCGCAGGCCGTCCCAATGCAATCAGGCCGCTCTTTCACTCTGCTCTGCCATTTTCACTGCTGTGATTTCACCCACTCCCCCACCCACCCCCTCAACACCACCAGCACCCCACCTCCCCCTTCAGATTCAATAAGTGCCCATTTACAGCAAGGAGAAAAGGTCATGCCAAACTCGTTGTGTCAATTGTAAACCACCCCAATTTGGGCTGATTTCAATGAAATAAATGAGTAGTTCCAGACGTGAAGAAGACAAAGGTCTATGGGGAAGTGTCAGATTAAGAGATTCTTCTCTTTGAGGACAAATCTACTTTGTTTGTGCCCTGGTTTGTACCCCTTGTTGCTAGCTGCATTTTAGAAGTATGCACAAACTTTTCAACATACCGCATTACATTGCTGTACAAGTGGTATTTGTATTTTGGTGACCACAATACTATGTGTGTTAATTGTTTGCATTTTTATATATATTTTTGATAACATTATTATTCTCCAAGCTTTAATTGTTACCAAGAGTTGCATATTGTTAAATGATATCATACCCCTCCAGACCTCCTTTTCATTTATCCAAGCCTAGGAGTCAGCTCATGTTTTTCATTAAGCTTCTTGCAGTCACACGGTTAAGTCATTTACACGACAAGTGGATCCCACACGCAGTAGACAGACTGACAGATTTAAAGCAGTAAAACACCATATCAGATCAGACTGTGTTTTGGTCTGGTCCACATCACAACAAACATTTGAGAAGTCAAGTATATCAAGAAAAACATTTAAAACTGTTGCACTCAGATTGTGATCCCTCCTATCATCTGCAGGCTACTGATTTCAGAGTATTTCAACAGTTATATGGGTTTCACAGATAACAGAGTCAGTGGGTTCTGCTTGAACTCCCAGTAGTTTGAGTTTCTTAATTGTTTATCTATTTTCACTTTGTGCTCTCACACATTTGACCTTCACACGTGATCTTTTTGTTGAAGTTAAACTAACTCAAAAGTGTCCAGGGACCAAAAGGAAACTGTTTTTGCTTTAAAGGACTTGTGGTCTTGTGCACAGACTGTGGTTGTCCCTGATGTTTGCGATGTGTAGGCTGATAAGGTCCATTCATGTGGACCAGGTGGAACAGGATGCAGAGATGCAGGCACGCTACCTCCTCTGTGCCCCTGTGATGGGGTGATAGGCAGTTACACTCATGCTGGTGCAAGTCTGTAATCCCAAAGCAAAGTAACACAGAGAAGTCCTTTCTTTTCCTCAGAGGTGGATGGGCTTTGAGGAGCTGAGGACCACACTCTGCTCAGGAGTAGAGAGCTTTCCATTCCAACAATCAACAAAGTAAAAAAAAAAATGCATGTGTATTGTGCATCCCACTTTTTGATTCGGTCCTCTGTATAGTCTGTGCATTATGATAAAAATATCTACTTCAAGTTTGTTGTGCTGTTTGCTATTTTGAGAGCGATTACTAAAGCAGCAATTGTTCTACACGTTTCTTTTTCTTTCTTTTTTTGTTTTGTTTTACAATTTCTGGGTTTCAGATAACATCGCAACATCCCAACATTCTTCAGCTGTGTATGTGTATCTCAAAGAAATGGGGGTGGGTAATATAATTGTTGTTAAAATGCATATTCTTTATGTAATATGAAATATTAAATTCAAGGGTCTAGTTAATTAAGTAAATGATCAGGTTATATTTTTTGTGGACTTGAATATATTTCTTTCTTTATATTTTCTTCCTATCAGGGAGTATGACATCATGTTCTTTAAACTGAAAGCCACCAAATTTGTGGCACAGTATTTTAAGATTTTTATTCTTTTTCATTAAAATATCAATGTGGCCTTGATGTAGGAAATGTGCATTTTACTTAATAAGCAGTACATCACCTCCACTGAATAATACATGTTATGGTCCAAAACAAATGAAATCACTTTAGATACTTAATATTATTGCATTAAAAGTAATCATTCAAAACAACTGTGTGTCTCTCTGAAGTCCCAATTTGATTGCATTAGACGGAGTATGATATAAATACAAAAAATAACTAATTACATGAAATGTTTTTCAAAAAGTGTTTGTGCATCAACAAAAATGTGTTGAATTTTTTTCATTTATTTGATGTATTTCTGGGAAATCTAAAGACTCACCCAGACACAAAACAAAGGGCTCTTGTGCAGTTTGTAACAGCCTAATTAAAATACTGAATTCAGACTAAAATTAGATGTAAGATTCTCTCCATGCCATAACTTTGATATTCTATATTATAAGATACATTATTGCATAGTGCCTTAACACAGCAGACTGTTTTAGACACCTAACAACTAACAATAACTGCTTACAATAACAGGTCTAATTGCAGTAATAGCTGTGTGGGTCATTATTGACCTTTGTCCCTTTTAAACTGTTGTTGTACAATTTGTGTGTCATTGAATGTGTGACAGTGACAGACTGACAGCTGCCATTACACAGATCACACGTTCTGACCAATTAAGAAGCATCCTGGTGCCTTCATTGCACACATCAGGCTAGACTAATAGCCCATAGGATTTAGACCTACTGTTTAACGCCATGAAGAAACCACACATGTAGCTTTAGTCCCAGAGGAGGCGCGGCTAAAAAGGTCTGAAAAATGTGAATTTATGATCCACCCACTAGGCACATCTTAAGGCACACTCGCTGCCAAACAGAGCAGAGGAGCGCTAGAGAATCTGACTTTCCTTGAACGCAACTTTTGGGGAGCTTTTACGTACTCTGGAATATAGAAATGCGCTGGAAAAACGAAGTGAAAGTTGAATGTTGCACTGTTAGCCCGAATGAAAACGAGACTATTTTGTCCACCGAGGAGGTAAGACTTTCCCATGAGCGCCGGTCAGTATGTCTAGATCTTTAATATAGCCAAAAGGGAAATTGTCCTGCCAATAAAAATCAGGGTGGCTGCGTGTCATTAACCGGCCTCGCGCAACCTGACTTCTCGGTATTTTCACAATTTGAAGCAATGCACTCCCCCTTGGATTCTGCAATTAAAACTCAAGTAGTTAATAAGACCTCTTCACCTTTTGCTTTGCCCCGGGAAGACGTTTGTGGCGAACTTAGCCCTTTTAATTGGTGTTATTAAATAAATCAATGCCTTTTTTCCCAGAGACGTCGCGCTGCGTTTGATTGACAGGTGAAATTGGCGTGTTGCTGAATCACACAACTCGAGGACATAATGCACATAGGATAAGTATGAGTTCAAGTGTTGTCTGTTTGTGTACGTAATGACTACTTCTCTTTTTAAATGTCATTTTGGTAATCGCCGGCGTTGTCATGGTGAAAAGTGAAAGGCATGATATTTATGGGACGGAGCAGGGGGCATTTAAGGCGGCTGCGACAGTCTGACCCACCGACCGTCATGTGCGAGGACTGCAAAGGCGGAGAGGACCTGCTGGCCAAGTGCGCAGAAGAGGGAGACATCATGGTACGCGCTCAAAACGGACTAAACTTTTATAACCTTATCGACAAAGAATAACAAGTTATTTGGCTTTTTTTTTTTTTTTTTTTTTTTTTGGTGGGGGGGGTGTTTAACTTTTTTTTTCTTTTTTTTTTCGGACAAAAGATGTCGGCATAAGTTTTCTTCAAAGGCTCTTGTTTTGCCACAAACATCATCTCGGGCGCTGCATTTCATATTATTTAGGGTCAATTTATTTGTAGTACTTTTCAGCTACTACAAAGTTTCCATTTCCCCCATACTATAGGCCTTTTTTTGTTTTGCTTCTTCTGGCAACTTCCAATTGAATGTCAATGTCATTCAATAGGCTAAACGCGGGTATTCCTACCATTTAACCAAATGAGCTTCAAAAGCATTAAATCAGGCCTGTTGAATTTAATGAAAATGTCTGGCTCTTAATATGCAGATTTTAGAGTTTGGAGTGATATTGGGTGCTTGGCTCTGACCACAGCTCTCCTTCTCAGGGCGCTCCTCTGGAAGTTTTGGATGAAGACGCGTCATCCCTTCAGGCCATGACTTCTGCTCCTCTGTTGGGCAGGACCGTGTGCGCGAGCTGTAACGAAGAAATAGTGGATAAATATTTGCTCAAGGTAAATGCGTTTAGTTTCTTTCTTCTGATGATTTTTTTTTTTGAAATTGTAAAGACACTCTGAGATGCCAGTTACTCACCTTCTTGTGGTCTCTTCGTCTTGGCTGTAGGTGAACGACTTGTGCTGGCACGTGCGCTGTCTCTCTCGTGCAGCGTGTGCCAAACTTCACTTGGCAGCCACAGCAGCTGCTACATCAAAGAGAAAGAGGTCTTCTGTAAACTGGATTACTTCAGGTACGCGCACAATGATCACGGAACAAGTGGATACAATTTAGAGAAACAATAACTAGGCTATGTCTTCTTCTTCTTCTTCTTCTTCTTCGTATTATTATTATTATTATTATTATTATTACTATTACTACTACTACTACTACTACTACGATTAGATTATTATTATTATTGTTATTATTATTATTATTATTATTATTAGTCAATGTAGCACCGCTTATTCAGCGCTTTATATTACAATTCATTACGCATTCCTAGAATCTCACTCAAAATCTGAGTCAAAGTACGAGATTAAAACAAACAAACAAACAAACATTAGCCGATAGAAAAAATTAACTTTTTTTATTGTTACGTGCAGAAGGTACGGCACTTGGTGCGCGTGCTGCGGCCGGAATATCCATGCCACTGACTGGGTCCGTCGCGCCAAGGGCAACGTGTACCACCTGGCGTGTTTTGCGTGTTTTTCCTGTAAAAGACAACTGTCCACGGGAGAGGAGTTTGCGCTCGTGGAGGAAAAGGTGCTCTGTCGCGTGCACTATGACTGCATGTTGGATAACCTCAAGCGCGCCGTGGAGAAAGGTGAAACTACCGAGGACCCCTGAATGCATCAGCATTTAGGAAAAAAATCTACCTGACAAAATATGTAGCCTACTAAGAACGCTGGCTAAACATCTCCAATGAAATTAATTAACAACTGAGAAATAGTTTAATTTTAAAGTTAACCTAGGCCTCAGTAGATTTTAGTCTGCAACAAGGGCCATAGCACTAAAAAGGCCTCAAGTCAATGTTACGATATCATTAAATATTCCAACAAAATTATAAGAATTTGAATTTTGTTCACTGACAATAAACAATGAAACTATTCTGATCAAATATTTTTGTTTTTCACAGGAAGCAGTGTGAACATGGAGGGAGCAGTGCCGACTGAACAAGAGCTAAACCAACCCAAACCCTCAAAAAGGGCTCGCACAAGCTTCACTGCAGACCAGCTGCAGGTAAACACCATCAGAATAATTCAACAACAGCATCCTTGTAATGTAACATATACCATAAAAATTTTGGTAATATTAAAGGTTAAATTCTATAAATTTAATTTTCCTATTTTTAAAATGTAGTATGTAAAAGTAGACTTTGTTGAGAGTAGAAAGATCCTTTGCACTTCCAGATGTGTATCTGATATTTGTATGTGATATCTGTGTGCAGGTGATGCAGGCCCAGTTTGCTCAGGACAACAACCCAGATGCTCAGACGCTGCAGAAGCTGGCGGAGCAGACCGGCCTCAGCAGAAGAGTCATACAGGTCAGCACACACTTTCATTCTTTATTTATCAGAGAATCTGTATTAATTTAAAACATGGAACATTACATAAGAAGGGTGTAAAATTGTTTGCAGACAATTAATAGTTATTATGACAATTACTTATTTAATAAAACAAAGTTCCATATTTAAAATATGTCAGTTCATCTATTGTAAAAACATTAAATATAATCATTATTAAAACTTTTATGTGATTTTTAAATTAATGTGCCAGACATTATTAGTGTATATGTTGTAAATGTTTTTCTTTAGGTCTGGTTCCAGAATTGTCGAGCGCGCCACAAAAAGCATGTAAGCCCAAACCACTCCTCGAGCACCGCACTGACCTCACTGCCGCCCAGCCGTCTGTCTCAGCCCACTCCCACCCCAGAGGAGCTGCAGTACACTTCCTACGGAGGCCCGGAGGGGTCAATGATCTCAGCACTGCACTCCTTCATAGATAGTGAGCCCTTCTCATTGAATTGCATTTCTGAAATACTGTAAAAAATTATTATAATTTTACCATTCCAGAACAGTAATAGACTGGGGTACAAGTAAATTAACTGAGCCAAATTTAAGCATAAACACAGGTTTGTGAGTGTAGTCTCTATGATTCAAAAGCAAGATTTGCAATAGTAAGGCCTTAATTAACATATACCAAATACATTTGCATATATTGTAGAGGCACAGCATTTATTATGGTAATCCTGATAGACTCGTTAAGCAAAATCATATATGTTCTGCTGTCAGTGTACCACAATCATCTCAGTAAGATATGCTTGTGTTATGTCTAAAAAATATACAGTTGATACCTGACATTATGGATACTGAAGTGTAATAAAAAATAAATGTGCACAGTAATATTTACACTAATAGTCTACTTATTACTGACTTGAACTTGAAATATAATACATTAAATACATACATGTTCCTATATGTTAAAGATTTTATATTTGCATATTGTCGTATTATTAAGATATTGTTGTAGAACATCTCTTGCCATATTTGTTCAATAATGTTTAACTCTGCATATTTACATACTTTTTTTTTTTTTCAGTTCACTCCCCTCCCTCAATGTTTCAACCTATGCTGCCGGCACACACTATGACCTCTCTGCCTGTGTCCCACGCCTGACCACACAGTGACCGCGCCGTGACCGCACCGTGACCGCACCGTGATCACTGGCCTCCACACAGCGTCCACACAGAATCCTCAGTCATACATGAGTATTGTCATTTATTTAGTCTTTTCTGTTTGGCCATAATGATAAACAGCATTCTTCAGTCTTCATGTTATCTGTGAAAATGAAAGTTTTGGTGTACCTCAGTCATAGAACATTACTAGGTATAGTTTTGTGCAGTTGGTGACACTTTATGGACAGTGTTCCGTTGTGTGACAAACACAAAATCAGTCCAAGATAAATAAAAATGTGTTAAATATTGCAATTTAATTTATTTACTGTATGTGAAGTCTGTTTAAAATAAATGTCTAATTTCTGAACCAGTCTATATAGTGCCTGCCTTTGTAAACAATGTACATACATATTAAATTAGTTACATAAATGTACTTTGGCAAAACAAACATATTTTGCAGCATCAAATAAAGACCAGATAAATCACTTTAGCTCATCAATCTGTCTATTGGAATCGTCAGTGCGTGTCTTGAATGCTGTGGTGGCAGCCTGACGCACATAGTAACCAAAGTACTTTTACTTGTGTGTACTTGTTGGCTGTGGTTGACCAAAGGAATCTAACGGTAAAGACACAGGGTACTGTTGTGACTTACTTCATCATCTCGTAAGAATCAAAACTTTAACCTCGGAAACCTGGGAAAGCAGGTACATGGCTGGACTTTAAAAAGAGAAATACAGTACGTGTAGAGAAGTACAGTATTGTTTTATATCAGGCAGATAAGTAATGGTTTTTAATTGTTTTGTTGCACATGTTTCAGCCTGTTCAACTGGGCTGGAAACTGTCACTTTACAAATAACAATGTAATGAGCATCACTCTGATTGAAAGATGTGTTACATCTTAAAATCTTACTATTAAATCGGTAGAACAATAGCTGCACTTTAAGAAATGTTAATAAATAACAATATACAAGAACCTATAATACATACGTACACATTTAACATATGCTAACTTCTAAAGAAACTGTAATAACAAATATTTGGTGTAGAAAGATTTGTAAAAGAAAATATCAACTTTAAGATATTTTTAGACTTGATACTAATAGTAATACAACTTCTTTAAAAAAGTTTTTAGTTGAATAACAATTAACTTCAGACACAAACAATGGCACAAGTTACACTATAATAAAAATACATCAAGTTTAGCACCTTCAGACCTCTTCAAACAGCATTAATGCCTGACCAAAGAGCTGCAGTACAATTAGAGTCTGAGTGGTAACCACAGAAATAAGGCACTTGAGTATGGAGCACTTGGTTCAGCTCTAGTATTATGTCCTTCCAAGTTCAATGTGAAAACACTGGTCAGTAAGTGGAAAATATGTATCTCAATGTGAGACAATTTAGAAATTAGTTAACTATAGCAAAACTGCTTAAAATCCACGAAGTAAAAAAAGAACTTCAGATGACTCCTGGCATCACCTTGTGGCAAAAACCGGCAACTACAAGAAATATTAAAAGCCAGAACATCAAGAATAAAACTATTTCCATACAGGATGTTGGCACGAGTTGGGTATTTCTGAAAATATTTAAAGAAATGCAATAATTTACAGAAATACAATAAATTATACATATATAAAAAAACCACTGAACAATTTTTAAATAAGAGCTATGACGTCTTCATAGTGCAAAAGACTTTTGTATGAATAAATAGGCTTCTCAGTGAAATGTTTTTGGAAAAAACCTGCATCTCCCTCTGCTGTCAGTTTTTCTTTCGTCCTCACATCTTTCTTGGGCTGAGATTTTTCTTGTTGAGGATGCGTCGCAGAGTTTTGTTCATGTGGTAGGGTCGTTCAGGCGTGCCATCGTTTGTCTCCAGATCGTACACTAGGGGGCAGCAGTAGCAAGTTAAAATCCTTAATGTACATGTCTATAGATTGTGAAAAAAGACCAGATTGTATTTAAACCGTTTATGTTTATTCAAAAAAGATTCACATTTTCATTGGATTTGTCAATAAAAAATCTTCTGTACAAAAGAAACACTGAAGAACTCCCAGACAGATGAGTGTATTATACTTAGTATTAAACAGCACTACATCTGACCCAGCCAATAAAAAAATTACCAAAAATGGCTTTGACATCCTTTTATAAACTGTATCGCAAAAAGTCTTGGTGTTAAATCTAAAACAAGAGAAAAGAGGATTTTCTTCCCACGACTAGGCACATAAACTAGTGGCTGCATTCAGACGCTTTCCTGAATATTGTCAGGTTCTGTTTATGTTTTGAGGGGAAAAAGTCTTTTAAGTCTTGCCCTCCCACAGTCTCTGTCTGCATTACAGTACATCTATGGGTAATATGTTAATGGAAAATTAGGATACACGGATTTGCTGAGTGCACACACTATTTTGGGAGTGACTGAGTTAGTATAAATACAATGGATCAAAGCAACTGGTAAAACCTATGGTAAACATCAACAGCCAGCAAATATCATGCTCGACAAATTCACATGGTTCTTTTCCCATATGTCAAAGTGCATACAAAACTGAACTTTACAATAGAAGACCAAAGTGCCACAAGAGGTCGCCCCAACCAAGAACAGCTGTACATTTAAGGTCCTCTTACAATATCGGGGTAAAATGCCTTTGTAATTTTTGTACTAATCTGAGAGTGTGCATCCATCCAGTGAAATGATGTGTACCCTCTTTATAAGGCAGAGGTCAGCAGAGAATACACGCAAGAAAAGAAAGAAACATAAAAGTGGTAGAAAAGGCAAGAGTTTTGTCATCTTGAAAAAGGAAGTGAACAGATCTTTTAAAGTCTGTCTACAATGCCTTTTTGGTGTAGAACTGAACTAAAACTTGTCCGGTCGTGTCCACATTATCCCAGTCCAGGGGTGCATCCAGTTTGTGTTTAGCCCTACAGTACTTGCTCCGATAGTCCGGACTCCATGCATATAGCATATATAGATATGGAGAAATAAGTCAACAGTTTTGTCCAGCGGCTACTTCACTCAAGACACATCGCATAGTTTGGCACCCTCCTCCCCTTTTCGCAGGATCTTGTGCAGATTTGGAGAGATGAAGTAGGGCCTGGAGGAAGACCCATCGTTCCGCTCGAGGTCTTCACCTGAGACCAGTCCCGCAACGGCAAAGCCAAGGAAGAGAGAGCAAGCAGTAGGGACAGATCAGAAAGAGAGTGGACAGTAAAGGCTTAATAGAGATATATGCAATTAGTTGTGCGGGCACAAAGAGCTGAAAATACTGTCAAGTGCAAAAGGTAGAAGAAGAGCAGGAAGATACAGTATGTAATCTAGATCAACATAACTATTTGTAATTTCAGAATAAACCTAATGTACAGTTTTGGTATTTACAAGCAAATTTTATGTCAGCTATAGCAGTGTGTTTACTTACAAAAGCACAGGAACAGTGTGTCCACACACATGGAGTAAACATTGAAAAAGCCTTGTGCAACAATGAATGATCCAAGTATAATTGTCTGAGAAAAAAGAAATGTTATTGTTAACCATTTTTAATGATGGCAAAAACTCAGAGTTGTTTTTGATTTAACATGTTCTTACCACAGGTACCCAAATGTAGTTCAGAACTGGCAAATGTAGCTGAAGGTATGGTATTTTATGGGTGAAGACAAAAAATGCAAGAGCACCTAAAATGAAACACAAGTACCGTAATGACTAAACCTAGCAATACAACACTGATAGCAATATATTTTAAAATTGCTGTTATTCTGCTTGAAATCAGAAAAGACATCACTGACTCACCAACCCCTCCTGAAATGAGCAGTTTGCCCATGAAAAGCAAGAAATCTGTGACCTTATCCAAGACTGCCACCCTGTGGACAGGAAAGGAGAGCTCAAAAACAAAACTAACAAAGTCAGCATGCATTGGTCTTCAAAGACATTTTAACAGTATCATTTTAAACTGGGGAATTTAAAATATTTGGTATTATTTTTTCAAATATATACTAAAGGTCATAATAAATCATACCTAAGGATATTCCTCATCAGGAGGAAAAAAGCTTCCTTGGCTGACGTGCAAAAGTTCTTTCCATGTATTGCTATCTGTTGGTTTCAGTGGTTTATTAGGTAATATTAGGCATTAGAGACATGCAAATTGTGCCGTAGGGTTTGGTACATACCATAATGTATGCATTTCTATTTAAAAACTTGATGAAATGTTCCAAGCACCAAAAACAGCATTTGAGACACTTAAGCAGGAACTTAGCAAATTTGTTCTGTGCACCTGGCAAAAAACAGTGTGATCAGAAATGTCAAATACAATGAGGCTTGAGTAGAAAAAAGTATATTAAAGCTGGACTTGTACCTTTTAGCCTGTGATCTAAATACTCCAGAACAATTCGGATAAACTGCACTGTGGCAAGGATGAGAGAGCCAAAGGCGAGGGACCCTGTGTGAAAACTAAAGATACACAAAATGAATAACTGTTGATGACACTAATCACTGTAGACAGTCATCTCCACTGTGACTTTCACATACCATATGGCCCTGCTGAATGAGGACAACAGCGGGCATGGAGGGATGTCATCTGGCTTTTTCAGAGCCCAATAATATGATGCAAAGGCGCCTGCCAGTGTGCACTGCCCCAGTGCGATGGTGAAGTTGACCATCCATAGAAAGGCAAACAGATTACAGAACTGAAAAACCAAGATGTTTGAGTGGTACAAGCCCTCTCCTCCATAGAAGGCAAAGTTACACTGTGATCCTGGGCACGCTTTGGATATGTTGCTCTGTGAAAAGTTCTGAAGAAAATAAAATGAGAGAGCTTTCAGTAAAGGTTGCATTGCTAACTGGTTCTTTTTCTTTTTTTTCTGTATACAGTAAACTTACCGTTGGGTTACATGTACTGTTGTCATACATGCATGTGCCATCAGGTGATGAGACCTTGTAGATAGCCTCACCTGAAGATGCTAAGAAGCTAAAGACAAGACTGTCAAGGAAATAAAAACTATGATGTACTATGGTAAAGTAAATAATGTTAGTGTAATGTTAGCTTTTATCATATAAGCTAAAACATCTGTTTACAATAAAGGGATACACTGCCGTGACTGCCCAGTAAGCGATGCAGATGGTCACGAGTAAAAAGGTGACTAGAGGGTAGAAGAGTGTGGACATGATGTTTCCAATGGCCCTGCAAAAGAGGGAAAGAGTCAAACCGTTTCAGTCAAACTGAACACATTTAGAGTTGGCAGCTGTCTGCTTACCTACTTCCCTCTTTTAGTAATGCTATTGCAATACATATCCTTTTCCTCAGAAAAATCAACACAATCACAACGATCCCCTCAATTACAGCAAGCAAGCACACTATGGAATGGACATGTATACATTATTAAATACACATAAACAAGCAAGAATATCCATACATCTTGGAGGGGGTTACAAGATTTGTAAACATACAGAAAATAAGCCAAGTTTGCCTGAGGTTAAGGTAAAGTGAAAAGTCTTGCTGGAAGCCAATTTCAGAGATGGTCATATCAGAACCTGGCATCACGCTCACGGTGCTATACTCCCAGTAACAATGCCAGATACCTAAACACAAAGAGCAAAGCAAATAAAAAAAAATTGATGGCTTTATATCAAGTTAAAGTATAAGTGCATTGATTCCCAACCTGGGGACATAATCCCACTTAAAATCCGTGGCTAACCAAAAGAAGATGCTTATTAGTGATTAGTATAAGCTCGTGCAAGAGCAAATTGTCAATACAGAGTAAGGAATTTTAAATGTTCATCACGTTGAAACTAATCCACACTGCAACCTTCCCACGAAAGAAGTTTGATCTCAATTACGGTAAATGGCACAGATTAAAACACTGTTATATTCAGTTTATGAAACCAGGAATAGATAGAACATTATATGTTTTTTACAAAATTAACTTGAATTGAAAATCATGTTTATTTATTGCCCAGTTAGTATGGTGCTTTTATTGTGTTATGTTTTGACACTACACTACATATCATATGCACTCTGACAAAATCAAAGGACCATAAAGTAAAAGGTTGGGAACCAGTGATGAACAGTATTTCAGTGCAGGATGGAGCAGCCACTAGACTCTAGAGCAGGCTGTACTTACCATAACCAACGGCACCCACCACACCAAAGATAATAAGCCACAGGAGCACACCGGCAATGTAGCGCAGAAGCAAAATAAAGAGCAGACTGAGCACCATGGTGATCACCAGACCACTGCAACAACACCAACAGAAAACTGAACTCAGGTAGGGTTTCCATTGAAAAGCACTTGCAAAAGGACAATCTGATAGATTAAATTAAAGTAATAATTTCTTACATCAGAATCCAGTGCCACGTGTTTGCATAATCTTCAGTGATCCTGGAGAAAATTTGTTTGGCATTCAGAAGATTGTTGATACCCCTGTAAACAAATAAGATCAAATAAAATACAAGAAGAACATCAGCTTGAATTCTTGTTAATATTCTAATGTAATTTAAAAAGTCACAGTCATTTAATAGTATTATTTGTTAAAGGGCTTGTAAGCATATGCCTTCTATGCTGGTTAAAATGTTGAAAGTAGAGCATGTAGTTAGTAATAAAAAGTATATTCAAGTGTATCCATCTGAGCTCATAAAACTAATCATTTCCCAAATTAAACAAACGATGTGAGACTGCAATGACCCAGTGGTCCTCTGAGCTCTGCAGCACAGAGGACCTCTACAGAGGACAAAGTCACTTTTGGGTGAGACAAAAGCAGCACAGCAAAGTCTGAGAAAACAATGCAATGGTGATCAAGAGGTTTAATTTAAGGACAGAGATACCTTGTCTAAGAAATGGGTTGAATCGTGTCCAGGACTACTCAATGACCAGCATTCAAATTTTCATTGAGAAGAAACTATCTGCCCACCAGGTGGCACTGTACTTTTGAACGCAACAAAAACAATATGTTTAATACTTAACTCATGGATACATACAGTTGAACAGAAGCCTTGACGAGTGTTAGACTAATCTACACAAAGCAAATGAAATAGCAAGCCGATTTTAAAAAGCTATAACAAAATATTCTATGGGACCTTTTCCCCCCTGGCTGAACTGTGGTGACTTTACTGCAAATAGAAAAGCATGTGTTATCATAAAATAGTTCATAGTTGAACAAAATCATGTATCTTCATCACATCTCTTCCGTTGAAATACATGATCTATTAGCTTCAGTCTAAATATGAGCGGATATTCATGCACAGTGTTAAGAATGTGATCTCCCACATTCTTGGACGTGACTGACACGTCCTGCTTCCATACCCTTCTACTTGGGCCCTGTGTTCTCTGAGTGTTGAGTTGAGAGGCCTATTGAGACCATAGGTATTTCAATAAACTACACTTCGGCACTGCAGTATGTTCAAAAGAAAATACCTGTACTACTGTTATATGGAGAGGTTAAATGAGAGTAGGAATAGCTCTGTTACATGTCAGTACTTACATTGCAGCATCTTGGAGGTCACTGATATTTCTCAGAATGTTGAGCCCATCTCTGAAGACAGTCTGATTGGCTACGGTCACAATTCCATTTCTGGTGTTGAAGTCTGGGAAGCACCGCTGAAGAACTACAATACACACATTATATTACTTATTATGGTTTTACTTATTCAGCTTAATGTGTTTAGGAAACTAATACTGACACTAATACTGACTTACAAGGTTTGCTTGGCACAATCATGGACGGACAGTCCTCATCTCGTAATACTTCTGTATTTGGCTAAAAAACAAAGAGAAAAACAGTAAACATGTGTCAGTATGTTTCAGTGGTGTGAAGTGTCAGAGGGGAGCCACAGGATTGTATCCTCTGTGATGTAACCATAGTCTGTATATAGATGTAACACTGTCAAACTTAAAATCATGTGGGACGTAAATCAATGATTCAGTTCAAACTGTGGCTGTGTTTGACCCTCCCACACAACAGCTCCCTCTGACTCTCAAACAACGTCATCCTGACGCCGGCAGCAATGATACCACCTGCTGCAGGACCATCATGGTGATATAAAATAAGGTGTGCTCCAATAACTCTGTTCACAACTTAAATCCATTCTTACCTTACTGCCAAGGACAAAGTCTGGTTTGCAGAACTGCTTGTAATATTCCCAGTTTGCACCCGACTGTGAGTCCAGGAATCTGGCGAATCTGTCAGGGCACTTGGAGACACAGAGCTGGAGAACCAAAGAAACTGTCAGCTCCTGATCTGTTTTACTCCAAGCTGGACAAAAAGCTGTAAACAAAGAGATGCTCTGGCCGTTTTCATACCTGAGTTGTAGGGCACTGGAGGTTAATTAGAACAGCAGGATTGGCACATTTCAAAATGTTGAAGTAGAATAATATTGTTTTGTTTCTGTGGAGACAAATGATGAAGACAAAGAGCACAATCAGATTAGAGCCGTTTACTCTGCACCGTTTTATCAGCAGGCCTTCACACATGCATAGCTACGGCTTGCTATAATTAATCATTTGCTATCTCAGTGTAGCCAGTCTTTTGTGAAGTGATGACTACTGAAAGTTGTCAAATGATCAAACATGCAGTCATTATTCTGCTCCACAGAACAAGAAAACAAATGGTTTTCAACTCACGAATTGGGGGTCCCCTTCTGTCCACAAAACTGGCCCCTGCTGTCTGTCGGATAAACCACCTTTCGGGGGTCACCAAGGCTCCAGGCTGAAAAACAACAGACCTTCTTACAAAATGAAAGAGATATGGACATGTGTAACCATTGTTCATACCTCTAACTTCCTGAATATTTAAAAAAAAAGGATGTTTTACCATTGCCAACATGAACAGTAGTTACAAAGAGTATCATGTTGATGTTGTTAGACTGGTCTAGCTCAAAGTTTTAATTTGTTTTCTGTATTATCTCTCTAGATAGAAGTAGCCATAGCCCCAAAAAACAATTTACTGGTTGCTTCTTGTGTTTCATTTATTTACCCAACCTGAACAATACTGTGTTAGAGCCCTTTAGCTTCCACTTAATAGGGGAACCTGAGATAGAGAGGGCCAACAACAAAGACCATTCAAATAAAAGCAAGACCGGACACATTGCAACAGAAATCACATTTTAAAGTACATTTATATCAGAGTTGCAGAGAAGTAAGTCAATTTTCAAGAAAAAAAAAATACAGTTAAATTTTTTCTATTGTAAGTACTGTATTTTTCAGACTATAAGTCGCTCCGGAGTAAAAATCACAACAGACAAAAAATGTGTAATGAAGAAAAAAAAAGCATATATGAGTAGCACCGAATTATAAGTCACACTTTTTGGGAGAAATTTATTTTATAAAATCAGAGACCAGGAACTGACATTTCATATTGAAAGGCAAGTTACAGTAATGGCAATAAAATAGACAAGAGGCTGTTAATGTAACATATGAACAGTTGTTCAGATAACTATAGCATAAACAACAGAACATAACAGGTTTAACAAATTCCCCATCTCAAATCACTAAATCCTTTGAATTCTTCATCCTTGGTGTCACTTCTGAGCAACTCCATGACCTTCGGAGGTAAATGGAGCGCCGCTTCTTCTTCCTCCTAAATGTAGTCAGACTCAGCATCAGTTCCAGTTAGATTTATTCCACCCTTTCTGAATCCCGACAGGATGGTTTCGTTTGTCACTGAAGTCCAAGCTTTGTTAATCCATCCAATGACTTCCAGAAAAGTTGCATGGTGCACCCTTCTGTGTACCTACCGTGAGCCTGTGTTCTTCATCCCTGCTTTCAGCTAGTCCCTCACAAGTTTAACACCCCCTCCAAATTTTTTTTCTGCTGCTCGATTACTGTTTTCGGCTGCATATTTCACTATTTGCAGCAGGAGACATGGTGAAAATTTTAATATATAAAAAGCACTGGAGTATAAGTCGCAGGACCACCCAAACCATGAAAAAAAGTGCGACTTATAGTTCGAAAAATAAAAATGTAATGGTTTTGTCTATAATTATGCAGTTTATGTCCATGTCCATTGGTATGAACAATAAATACCAGTAGACCAATGTGTCAGACTCACCCACTGTCCCCAAAGCGATGTATCCGATGATGACAATGATGAAGATAAAACAGCAGGCCACGTCTGTGCAACTCCTGACAAAAGGAGGAAGAAGAGTGTTAGTGGCAGATATTTTATTTTTCATACTGGGCAGAGATGGTGAGGAGACCAAAACATAAAAATAAAAATAACAGCTACCTGAGTGCTTTTGGTTTATATTTTGTGGATAATCATGGCTCCACTGTGTTGCATTTGAATTTCAGATCCTGTCAGATCCCAGCACTGGCTGCGAGGCATGACAAGCTGTCATCTCCTCTGTGAGCTTTCAGGGGAGTGGTGTAGAGCACTGCTGACTTTCTAATGAGGCTCTGGATCCCCCCGGAGTGGAGTGTCCCACGGGCGCGTACAGACAGCATCAGTGAGGAGGCCTGTGCACGCTCAGCACAACCTCACTCACTCCACTCGCCTCATGTCTCCAATAACAAGCTGCTTTTGCTTCACTTCTGCCCCAAGACAAGATGTTCACCGGCCCACTGGGGTCAACCTTTCTTTGGCCTATTCAGCTGGTCCCCTTAACACAAGGCTCACACAGACGCCCTCCTTTAACCTCACTCTGCAAATCAACGCAGACACTCCAGTTTTCTTTCAAGTCTTTCTGCTCTTTAGAAAGTGAATGTGAAATAGAGGCCCAGCTTTGGACATGACCATGTGTTGATTGGACAGTGACAGTAATCCTTTCAACCAAGAACTCTGCACTAATGCAGAGATACACAGCCTACAAATAAAAGGGAAATAATATAGCAATGCTAAACTTAGCTCCAATGGCAACTAATGAATTACATACAAACAAGTGTTTAAACTGTGTGTGCAGAATGGCCTAAATTAACAGCTGGGTGATTCACGTTTGAATCACAAATTAACAGAGATTGTTTGCAAGTGCAGGTCTAATTAGGAGGCGACAACATTAATAAATGCAGCTTGGTGCAATCTGTGCTGAGAGCCTCTTCTGGGGAGTGAAGTTGTGAATTGTATCTGTAATATAAATTATTCAAAGTATAAGTACGAAACGCCTTGACTTGGCTTTTGTTTTGCAGTAAATATTCACACATCAGCCAAAATGGAAACATGAAAAGGAATATTCTGTGTTTATAAATGAAAGATGAAGGAGCAGTTTGTGGCGCTTACTATATCATCACCACATTCAAAATATATTATTTGCTAAATATAGCTATTAAAATTTTGAAATTGTGCTGTAATCAAACAGATAACTTTAACAGTGGTTGTGTTTTCGTGCACTAAGCAAGACGCTGCATATTATTAACAAAGACACATGGGAGCACCATTTCCTTTCATTCAAATGAACAAAGGGAAGAGTCATCTTTGTTGCCATGGTAATGGTTGCATTCCATATCTATGCAGCCCTCAGTAGGTTTGTGGAAAACTTAGCACTGGCACAGAGGCGCGCAGCCGAGAGTTTGAGTCTAATGTGGCTGTTAGAGGTTTCCACACTGCTTTAAATAGACCTGACTCTTATTAAGTCATTGTGCAAGCGCAGCAGCACTGTGCTAATACAAAGTCACCTTTGAAGTATCAGGTCTAACAGAGCTGACACAGTAAAGAAGGCTTTACTGTCTCATCAGAGAAATACCTTGCACATGGGCACAAGGCCAGTAGTAGTCAAACAGATATTATTTTGGCTCCTTAGATATCTGTGAGCTCAAACACCACAGAACAGCTCTGCTCTGACAGGTCGAGCGTCTGAACTGAAGGCTGTGTCAGTTCAATGAGAAGCTTTTATCTCCCTGTCAGACTCAGACCTGATGCTCTGAGGCTCGGGGCACATGGACCACAGCGCAGCTCCTCTGTGCCCATACAGTGGTTCAGGTGGTAAAGAGCAAGACACCACTGTTTTCACTGTCATAAAAAAGTTACCTTGAGCAGCAAGATGAATTCTTGCAATATTTGTGAGTTCAAACTCACAAAAATCCATATTCGGATCCCTCTGCTGTGAATCCACCAGTAGATCAGAGTGACTGGACCAATCACATGGCAGCATTGTGGTTTGGGCAGAAGTCAGAGGCAAAGAAAATCAAGACTTAGCGATGCTAACGAACATCCAGAAACCAGAAAGAAAACAATTTTTTAATGAAAAAAGGATAGGAAATAATGTATGTATTTTCTCTATAGTAGAATTAGCTTAAGTTTTATTTCTCCATTGTTTATTATTTCTTTATTGCTGTTGTAGAAGGAAAAGCCCAGAGAAGCTGGCCTCTTTGTAAGTAACTTAGTAGATGTTTCCACTTGTGAAGAAAATTAACATGTGGCACGTCACATTCGTCTGGTTATCGCCTTCAAATCACATTCAGACAAAGCAGTGAAACGAACAGAAAGTACGTTTGGCTGGCTACAAACCTTGTGCCTAATTGAGCAAGTGTGCAGGTTGATCACTACTGCAGTTGGTTTACTGAGGTCACTGCACAGTAACCACCACAGACATTACAGTTAATTCACCAGGGTGTCGTCACAGACGCAGAGCTGAATCAAGACGAGCCAAGCGCCTGTCCTCTCCCCGTCCTCATTAAGACAGAGCCTCAGAGCCTCAGAAACATCAAAGCTGCTCTGGTGCCTTCAGCTGCAGCAGAGAAATGGGCTCAATGTGCATCCAGACTCCACGGCCAAACTCACAGAACATAAAAGAAATAGGACCCCATGTAACCTCAGACAGGGACTATATCATCAGTGAAGGCCTGCAAGCTTGACTATATTGTGTTCTGATCAATATTGTTTATAAAAGAGGGTTTCACACTTGTCATCTGGGATAGGGAAGAGTATTATGGGAAATTACTGTCATTCATGGCTTTCTGCTTTGTGTGCAATTCTGTATGCGGTTGTCCATTCAAAAACATTTAATAGTTTGTTTTGAATTGTTAATTGCTATGGCAAAGGTCTTAACTTTTCAGCATCCAGAAACCCATGGATATCCTGCTCCATCAGTTGCTTTCATGCTGTGTGGCTGATTATGAAACAGTGGCTTCCTTCACTGTTACAGCTCCAGTGTGTGGGGAGAGTTTGCGTTTGGGTAATAATGTGTGTCACTGGGCTAACAGCAGCTCCAGTCTGACTTATGGACATTGATCTGTGTCTGAGCACAGAGAGCTGCCAGCACTGGGCTTCAGTCTTTATTAACACAGAATGACAAATGATCAATCACTACTGACTCTGTGTGCTGTGCATGGGGTCAAAATGTTATTTACAAGAGTAATTTGACCAAATACCAACAATAACTTGATATTTGTGACTGAACTGTATGTAATTTCTAATATAAAGTTTCTAGGAAAGAAATTTATTAAGGAATTAATAATTAATAGTTGTAATAATTCTTTACATATTGGTGTTGGTTTGATAACATCTTCACATCTTCAGTTTTAAGCTCCCTGCGTTGAATGAATTTCCTTTGGGATAATAAAGTATGTCTGATCATGGTATCAACTGGCAGGATCTATGGATACTCAATATTGCTATGCAGACTAAAAACCTGGATAACTAATTAAGGTCTTAATAGTTGCTGTTAATGTTGAAAATGCTCTTATAAAGCAATAATTATTGATTAATTAATTATTGTAATGTATGTACAATGTACACATGTAATACCTGTTGCGAATTGGGCCTCTGAAGTTAGGGTCATACTTGCGTGGTTCACCTGTAAGAAAAAAGAAATGTCATTTCATAAAACATTAACTTAAAAAAATATAAACTGTATCAACTCTATCAACAATTAGAAAACAGCTCAAAATAAATAAATATTAGCTCAAGGTTCACTTTATGTTTAAACACAGTGACTCCATGTTTGAATCATTTACACTTCCAGCTCCATTTCCGTGTGGCGCATTTACCTGCTGTGACACTAGAGGGCAAGACAAGCTAAAGTAGGCCATTTCACAGCACATGTTCTGCAGGATTAGGATGAAGACAAATGATCTCACCCAGGTATAAAAAAAAGTGTAAAATGTAATAAATCATGTGAACAGTCTTGAGATAACAGCTAATCAAACCCACTTTAAGGCTTTCTGATTGGCCAAAGCTGAATACTATTTAAGTATGACTGGACCAGCTAACCTCCTCCATCTGGTTGTACTTGATGTGGGACGAGGAACATGAATTTGCTTAATTCCTAGGCGGTCTCTTCCGTGTCCGAGTGGTCCCTGCCTAATTTGGATCCATGACACGCTTGTACATAGCCCTATTAATCATCGCTTGGAGAAATATCTGGACAGACTTTGGGGCAGCGTGAGTAAGTCCAAGTTCCATCTGCCCATTTCCAACAACACAGTTGCCTTTGAAAACTGTGACTACACTGCACTACTCACAGGCAAATCTGGAGGGCCACATCTACCACTCATTTAAAATTTGATGACCGCTAAACTTCAAGGACTGAAGTTTATTTTTTATCAGTCATACTAAAGCTTTATAGGATTTTCTGTTTGTCTGAACCTGTTGAAGCAGTGCATGTTTGAAGGATGGTGAAGATGAGGAGTGACAGAGCAGTTATCAGCAGTGCATGAGGTGCATAAAGCTGCAGACTCAGGCAGACACAGAGGACTGGAGTGAGCACTGAGCACATACAGTATCTGCTCATATAGGATTACTGTTTGTAGTCAAGGGTACAATGTCATGACCCAATATACAGTACAAATTTCAACTGATAATAATAATGCATTGGATTTATATGGCACATTCAAGGCATCCAAAGTGCTATACAGTGCATTATTCATTCATTCCACACTGCATGGTGCTAAGCCACCATTGCCTCTGACCACTACCAACATTCATGCACGTCATAAACAACAAATCTTTGTCCAGTTGACAGAATTAAATTTTTCTAGTACTAATGATGCCCAGCCTTGCTTAGCTTCCAAGATCTCATGAGGCTGAGCAATGACCAGCAAGTATAGCCAATAGGTTTTTTGATTTTGGAAAACAGAGTTCAAGCTGAATTATGGTGGTGATCCGAGTTCAGGTTCATCATATCAGTGCTCAAGTCATTCATGACAAACAGAGAGCACAGCGCAGAGCAATATGTACACAGAGGAAGATGGCTTACATTATTTACATTATTGTTCAAAGCATAAGTGACAAAAACATGTTTGTGCATATGGCAGGTGAGAGCTGTGAAACTCCTGCTGAGATCAGAGAGGGCCAGTGAGGCAACAGATTGCAGAGTCAGTGGAAGAGCCTTTCTGACAAAGGACAACTACAATACTACTAAAGTATTTGAAGCTATTACACTATAACAAAAACAATAAATAAAAATAATTTTCATGTATGTAATACAGTTTAAAAAGACAATTTTATGGCTATTTTAGTAAATATTGAGGAGGTGATCTGGTAAATGTATGTAGAAGAATAATATACATTAGAGGAGAGCTTAGCCTGCTGTAGTCTGCCAGAGCAGGAGACCAGGCTGTGTGTATTGTGGGCTTTAGTTAGCGTTAGCCTGGAGAATGGTGATCTGTTGTTGCGTTAGCGCCTGGAGAATGGTGATTTGTTGACACATTTGGAAAAAGCCCGGAGGCAGGCTGTGCATGGCTGTAGAGTACAGTTGGTATTGACTCTCTGTGTTAGATAATGCCAGTGCATCCTGTTGTGGTCATGATAATACTCATTGTGGTTATCAGAGCATCTGAGGAATTACAGGAGGATAAAAGGATCTAATGTGCGACGAGTCACATCCATGGCAACAGCATGTATGGATCATTTACAGTGTTAAAGATCTAAAACACACTCCAACCGAGACTTCAGTTAAGTGAGGACAGGGAAGAAAGAAACATTTGCTCTTGGTGATGAAAAGAGTCTTACAAAATATGTGAATGTGAGGTGAAATGCAGCAGTCGTCTAAGCAGTGTGAGCTGACAGTCTATAGCTGACACATGGTTCACCTGTATTTAGACTCACATGTTCCACACTCTGTGTACATACAGCACACTGGCTCCACTGTCCAAGGGCGCCTCTGCCCCACACTGGCCTCTTTATAGGGCCACAGTTTGCTGCACAGCTCCTGCACCTCAGGTACTCTGGGCTTTCTCTCAGCTTATTAATAGAACTGCGGCTAAAGCAGTTTGTAAGATTGTTGTCAGATAATTTGAAATCATGTTATTTCCACGTCGACAGTAGAGATGTTTAAGGGCACAGTTGTCAAAAACTGGGGCATTTTAGGGGTGAAGGAGGTCACTGTCTTACTTTTCCACATATTTTCAGACAGTCACAGGTTTGCTGAGCTGTACTGAAGGTCCACAATCCATCAACAGGATCTGCTCCTTTGTGCAAAGAGGGACTGCAGGTTGAGCAGCAGATCCAGCTCAGCTGATCACTGCTGTGAGTGTGTGTGTCTGATGAAACAGTCAGAATCAGACTTCATGAGGTGATCTGAGGACCCCATGCTCTCGGGCCCTGTGCTCACTGTCCGGCCCCTTGGAGCTTTGCATTTGCCACAGAAACAGCAGCTCCTAGACAGCTCCTCCACTGGGCCCTGTGCTTGTCACAGATGGAAGCAGGGAGATATGTGATGTGAGAGGGTCTGGAGAGGCCTGGAGAATATGCAGCTGCCTGTTGAGCATGATTATCCGGTTGGATCTGAAGGGTTCCTTTAATCTTTTCAAATTGTTTAATATATTAATGATAGTCAGTTTGATTATTTCTACAGGTTACTGTGTCTCTTGGATCGCCCCCTTTATTTCCCTGTCAGATATCTTGTATTGTCATAGAAACATCTTAGCTGCCTTGCACTTGCTTTGCCTCTGGACTCCACACTTAAAATGCTGGTCTTTAGTGCAAGGACAACACTTGAGTTTTCAGGGATTTCTGGCTGTATTAACACATGTCTGTCTCACTTGGTGCTCTCTGAACAGAACTGACTTGTTTTTAAAGAGAAGAAAAGTAAAGAGTGCTCTCCTGTCCCAGCCGGTGGAGTGAGAGGCAAGTTGGGAGTTGTAGCCAGGAGATGAGGGGGTTGTGAGTGTTGCTGCTGACAGGCCCCTGCTGCTCGGGGCCCTCAGCGCAGTTTTGTGCCAAGGCTTTGTGACCTTGGTTACTTGTGTGGCAGCCTGCAGGCAAGTCCAAGATCAGCTACACTCAATACATCTGAAGAATACATCGGACTATAAGACTGGGCAATATAACAATAAAAATTAAATTGCAGTCTCATCAATGCAATGCTATTTTGGTGACATCATTACCTATTTCCCCCACCTACTCTATTGGTCAGTCACCTTATGTGACTGACAGGTGGAATTAACCAATCAAAGTGAAGCAGGAAGCCTCACAACAAGCTTATTTACCTTAACAGCATTATAAAGATTAAATCTATACGATTATTTAAAAATATCTCAATGTGATTTTTCTGACAAGCATGCATTTCAGAACATTTAAAATGTTTGTCAAGGTCTGGATAGGTCTGGTTAGCCGTTTTTACATAACAGGAGATAATAAAAAATCGCAGTCTCTGAAACCACTGAAATTGTGATTTTGATTAAATTGTGATGAATCTTGCAGCCCTAATAAAGATACAAGGTCTACATGAATCATGGTCAAATTGTAATTATGAGTTGGCTCAAAGAAATCTTGATTTATTTTTTTGGTCTTATTGCACATTCCTACAACCCTCAAATACATAACTAATACACACTGATATTGTGGTGAGAAGAAACTACTTAAAACCTCTACAGCTACAAGGAGCTGCAAAAGCAAGGGCTGAATCATCAACGACAAAGAGCACATGTCTCCACACGGTGCCGGCCCAACTTCTATAACTAATAGCAAAATATTAACTTCCATCTAAATTAAATGAAATCAAGGACTAAAACAAGACATTCATTAGTAGAAAATAAGGACCAAAATCCATCAATAAATATCTCTAATGATGACAAGGCCAACTAAAGAAGTAGCTCTAAATACTTACAAAGAATATGAATATTAAAGAGCCACATGGTAAATCAACATATGCCAGTTTGGATGGTGCTAATATCAGTATTGGCTGACATGTAGCCAATACTTTATCAACAAGTAATTCAGCTGAAAAAGTGACTATATGTTTTCACACCTACACAATACATTTTAAAATTATTTGTCCATGAGGGTGAAGTTAATTTGTTAACTTTATTATAACTGAACACAAACATGTGGACCTTGCTATAGATTTTAAAAGCTTGGTTCTTCTGAAAATGCAGGTTATCAGCCACAACAGCAAACAAATATCAGATATCAGTATCAGCTGGAAAAATCTCTACAATTACTAATAATAATTAAAACAAACTCAACCATAAAATAAATCACTACAAATTCTAATATTGGTACATTTAGTCTGGAGATCAAAATTAACCATAAAATCCACTGGCTGCACATTCCTATGTCTTTGTATTGACTAAAGTATAAAAAATGCTGCGTTTAGTGAAGCTGCTCATGCAAGACATTTGTTAATTAGCAGTGTGCCCGACTCGAGACTTTCAGCTGAATGGAAGTCATATCTAAATGGTTAAATACAAACCTGGAGTAGAATGGTTTCTACTTTTTTCTTTTCCGATGAACTTTTTGAGCAGTATATAGTCCCACTGAACACTAGATAGGTAAAGAGTTACATAATCAGCTGAGCTAAAAGATGGAATCTGAATGTAGGCCAAGTCTGGCACTGATGGATGACTAAGTGCAAATTAGAGCAGCACGATATGACTTTTTTAAATAAGATGAGCATTACCTTATCTCACCCTTTTTGTTCATTTCAAATTAGCTTTCCAAATGGCCTTTACTGCTATATAGTTTTGACCATTCACTGAAGCTGCTACTAGCCTAAGCTTTGGCCCTCTGTAAAGACACAACCCAAGTGTCAGAACTGCACAAAATTCTGTTTTCTGTTTACATCAAAACTAATTACTAACCTCAGCTTCTTTTGCGGTCAAATATTACCAACCTTGATGTGCTTAATATACCGATACCATGTATAATAATACGGTACATAGGTATATAAAAATGTATAGCACTTATCCAGATTTTTTCAACTATCATTCACATACCAAATACATAGAGTGTCTTGCCCAAGGACACAACAACACTGTGCACAGGTTGGAGCTAGGAGCCTACAAAGCCTCCGGTGCCTCATCTTTGCTTCCTTTGGTCACTTCCTGGCTGTGAAGCTAAGGGGTTTTTAATAAGCACATTTGACCACATTACTGTGCTTGTGCTGAAGTAAGTATTTGTCTCCTTCTTGTTCAGCGGTGTGGGCTAAACACCAAATTAGTCTTGTGCAAAGCTAGCTGCCAGAGCTAAAGCACCAGGGGCCGACTCATGTACAGAAGCTGACCTAAACACCAGGAGGCCCCATATATTCATTCCATGCTCCGGTGGAGAATGTATCGAAAAATAACTTTTTAATTAAACTATCTCATTATGTAACTCTTGGTAGAGTTGATGCAATAAAGTATTTAGCCTTAAGATCTTTTCAATGTTGTCTCACATTGCTCTATTCAATTAATATACAAGTTTGTAATGTATTCTGTACAAACTTCAATACCTAATTATTATATATTAAGATAATAACACTTTTTATTCATGGCAAAAGGCAGTCTGCCTTTATTCCTTTATTTTCAATCACAATTTACCCTATCAATGTAAAATTATGACAGCTAATGATGAACTATATTATAATGATATAATCTAGCTGAGAGCATCTTAACATTGTTAGGCTTGCCAAGCTTAGTTTGAACATCTACAAACTGCTAAAAAATGCCAAGAATAACAACAACTTAAATTACTACCATTTATGCTGGCTACAGGCTTGTTTTTTTCTTCTTTGGTGAACAATTACAAAAATGTTGGAGGGTCAGTCAAAAAGAAAACTTCTGCTGCCAAAAAAAACATCCAATTATTATATCATCAATATTGTCTCTGGTCTAAAGTTCCAGATTGAACTTTTAACAAGCTTTGGGATGGGTCTGTGACGGCTCCGGTCTGGGGTCTACTCTAGCTGACAGGCAGCACTGGTGATTGGCAGAGCACTGTAGTCATGAGATCGGAAGAACGTAAGGGTCAGCAGCAACTTGAAAAACATCCAAGACAAGAAGTGAAAAGAATGAGAGGATAGCTCACCAACTAGACACATGATAATCAACTTTATCAACAATAGAAGTTGAATAGAAAATACACTGTCCATTCACATTTGCAATACTTGAACCTGAACTGAGATCTTTATTAGCACATTTTGGGACATTTCTGATGGATTAAAAATACCCTCTTAAATTTATGTCAGTGTCGCTCACATTTTATCAACAGCACCAGTATCAAGTGCATTGTCCTCTTATTGACTCTCACTCACTAACATTGCCAATTGCATGTTGCTTTCAATGCATTTCTTTCCATTTAGTTTACATAATGCCTTAGTGGAGGAATGCTCCATCAAACAGGCCCCAGACAGGGTTTGAATTGAATCTACTGTTTGCGTGGCTTCTGCAGCAGATAAAGGATTATATTGTCTGGATAAACAACATAATAACTAAGGCAGGCTAATGGACAGAAAGCGCCCACAGATTAAAAACAACCAAGTGACTAGGGTTGAGCAATAGCCACTAAGAGACAATAAATACTTTGTAATTAAAGATTCTGGGACAGTGATTTCACCTTCATGAACCTGCAGTACAGTCGTCTACTTCATTGTAAGAAAAAGTGGAGGGATAAGTGACAGAATGATAAGCTACTGACAGCTCTACAGTCAGAAATTCATAATCAGAATATAGAAAACCTTTTGCCACTGCACAGCGGATTTCCCTGTCTCCGGACAATTTTACGTTTTATTGATTGATTGAAAAGCAAATCAAAGGCTGATGCTCACACGGTCATTTTATTCTAAAATAGCCTTTTAAACTCACATAAAAACGAATACAAATACATGTAACAAAATAAACAATTCTTATCCGGGCCACTTTGTGCAGCTATGTGAAGGTCTTACTGTGTTACAGAGTGGCACTGATGCCAGGTAGGTAGCTCAACATAACATACGGAACATATCACGATTTTTATAGCACCAATCACGATTAGTGGTGTAATTGTATATATCGGTTATACTTGTAACAAATGAACTAAATATATGTACATTTTAGAAGACGTTTAGTGGTCTATTTGGTACATCAATGTAATTCACCATTTATAAATGTTAGTCAAGACCGTTAGCTGCTGACAATGTAACATTAGCTTAAAATGTGCATAAAGCTATGATTAACATCCACGCTCAACCCAGGAATTAATGAAAATAATCATTTTTGGTTCAGAGCATCGCTGTGTCCTGTTGTCATCCCGTTATCTCGGCACAGGGGGTAAAATATCCTGACGTTTTCAACAAAGACGATGGCACACACTCACCATAATCGGACGCGGGGGTGTCCGTCTTTCTAGCCATGGCACGTAAAGAGAGAAACGCAGCTCCGTCGTCTACGTTTTAGGGACAGCATATGCGAGGAAAATACTGAAATAAACAGGGAAAATGAAAGGATTCGCTGTTTGGTCTGTTTCTGAGGATGCTTTGGCCACCACGCAGCCGAGCGTCAGTCGTGTTTACAGCGCGACGTCATTAATTATTCAGAAAGGGTCTTAAAGGCGCCCGACCACCATGCGACCACCGCTGTCAATACAGCCCAGCGGTGTTTCTTTGTTTGGGGTTGATAAGGCGCATCCAGTGCGTTTATAAGTCAATATTTGTGACATGTCAAGTAAATGACAATAGTGAGTAATGCGCGGTGTAAGGTGAGCTGCCTCACTGAGCTGTTTCTGTCGCGATAAGTCGTTGCGAAGTTGCTATTTTTGATAAATCCAACAATAGCTCAAACCCTCTCTCTTGATACTTGCTAAACACTGACACCACGTGGCTTTATTGTGGACTTGCATCTTCTGTTTTTTTTTTTTGGTTTTTTTTGTTTTTTTTTTCTTTATTGACACACACACACACAAAAAAACAAAAAACAACAACAACAAAAAAAAAAACACAGAACACGTGTCCTTACTGTAAGTGGGCTTGCATCTCCATAATATTCCGAAGTACTTTAGATATGTTATAAATATAGGCACACCGATCTATTATCCAAATTGTATATAATAAATGGACGAGTTGTATTTTGTGAAGTGAAGTAAGTGAAGTCAACCCATGCCAGCTCTAGGCAACAGCAGAATAATACAGGCAAAGGTTCCATATAGATGCAAAACAATGATTTATGATGCATATTTGCTTGGTTGTTTACTTTAAAACAGCAGATATTATGGATAAGAAAAGCATGATAAATCTTCCTAAATACATGGAAAAAACAACATTGCAGCAATAAAATACTATCATGTTAAAATTTTGTTATCTGTTTGATAGCCTATGTGATTGACAAAGCTCAGAGGCACTAACGTTTGAGGACAAATGAGTGAAATGAGTAAAACAAACAGCCTGCTCCGAGCACTGCAGACAGGTGCAAGCAAAATGATAATTTCACACTGACAGCATTTGGCTGTGCATCAGCAGGCAACAGTCTGGAGCTTCATTGAAAAACAGGTTCAAGTTAATTAACAAAGGTTTTGTTCCACAGAGAGGGGCCATGCTTTTGTGAGCTCTTCCTGAGCTGTATTTTCAGACCTGGGGGACATCTCTATTTAAATGCAGAGCATTTAACTAATCCACTGTATAGGCCTACATGATAACAAGATACATTATTATGAACAATTTTCTAGGCTGCAACACATAACTATGTGGCAAATTTAAACAAATTTAAACAACAGCTCAAATATTGATAGCTTCGGTGATTTCACTCCCCTCTTGAGTGTAAATCTGCATTCACATTCTATGTCATCATTTCAGATGAAAATCCTGAAACACTGAACTTTATTATAACTACAAACTTGCTATATCAAACTTACAGCTTAAAGTCCATTCAACGAACAACAGTTATATTTTCTGTTTGAGAAATGCCACCACTTTTTAAGCAATTCTGTTTCCAGTGCATTTTTAAAAATCTGTTTTGATCAAGAATTCTGCTTTTCTACAGCCTGTGTGCCAATACCTTCCCAATATTTACCTCTGTTCCTTGATCCTGCCAGGACCTACTGCTCCAGTTACTCACCTCCTGCCAGCAATTATTAAAAACTTTAATCTGCCTCAGTCTACTTTTGGATGGTAATGGTAAATGGTCACATTTTTCAGTGCTATAGAAAAATGTGACCATTTACCATTTACCAAGGCACTAAAAGCGCTTTACAACAAGGAACCACTCACCCATTCACACACACATTCACTTACCAGTGTACACAGACACTGTGGGCAAGGTGGGTTAAGTGTCTTGCCCAAGGACACATCAACAGCATTCATCTGTGGGAGCTGGAATCACACCAGCCAACCTGTGGGTCAGTGGATCTGACCGCTCAACCTGTGATGTTTATATCAAGAGCTGGATTTGAACCGCCAACCTTTTAGATCAATGCTCTACCAACTGAGCTACTGCCGCCCCAAGTCTGGTTCACAGTCCCCCATAATATAAAACGTTAAAATAAATAGTCCATACCGAGATGTCAGTGTTGATGTCATCCAATGAGTAATTCTCATTAGCCAGCTCCTCCAGACTGGATTACAGCTTCCAGACATTCTGCATCCCCTGGGAACTGTTAGCTGTGCTCGGGTTGCTGACAAATTGGTAATAAATGTTTTTTGCTATTAAAGGGGAACTATGTTACGTGTGAAAATGTTGGTTTGTAATTATATATCTTCCTCCATGGGTTAAAGTTAGTAAATTCCACTAAACCAATAATTATGTACTAAGAAGAACTCCTGTAATTGAATAAATTAAAGATTACTTAATGCCATACTATGTAACATTCCAGGCAACGCGTTGCATTGTAATAAGACAAGCAGGTGACCCCCAAAAACATAATATACAATAATCAATAGCTAGCCTATCTGTGACAGTAATAAGCCATTAATTTTATATCTTCTTCTAGAGCTTTTGGGTCCCTTAAGTCTATCCTTGAAATCTATAGGCCTCAGTAAATGACCTTCTCATTTCTCAAAAATAACGTGGTTATTAATCTACCTGGTACTACCCGTCACGCCCTTCATCACAAAGTCTTCTGCCGGGATCTGAGCGCCAAAGCTAACTTAATAAATAAACTACTAGTACTTTGTCTTTGAGTCTGTCTGAGTGTCTCCAGGTTGAATTAAAGTTTAAAGCACAAGTAAAGTTGTAATGAGTTCATACAATATATTATTCCTAAAAGCACGTCCGTGTTACCGCTATCGACAAAATCACGTACACGCGCATTTAAGAGCGTGTTATTAACACTACAGCCTGTCACCATGTGGACTGCCTTCTATTTAAACAGAACATCTGACGTGGATTCCAATGGCAGCACCGCGGTGCAGTGGACAGAACTGGCGTCTCCGCTGTGACCCTGACCAGCCCGTGCGCCTGGAGCGCAGACAACGTGAGCTAAGTTAGTGTAGCAACAACTTTTTTTAAAGTAATCATCAGGGAAATAAGTTGCAAAACAACACTTTTGGTCATTACTGGCTATTCTTTTCAGTGTAAGCTGGTGTTTACAGTCAGTTCAGAGAAGCCTCTTTTGTCGTGTGTACTATATGTAATGTAAATGTACTACTAAGCTAAGTTGCATTTTCAGATTGGTTGGTTTTAACACCATTAGCTTCTTCTGTTGATGACTCCTGTAAAGGCCTTCAAGCGATTCTGTTATTTATAAATGTGTAATTACAGTGTACATTACATATGTAATTTCAAGTACTGGTAGTACAGATTCTTCTGAAAAGCAGAAGTACAGTTTGGGAGCAGAAATGGAAGCACGTTTGCTGATGCTGCTGGAGACGCCCTTGTAGCAGCTTATGTCTTCTGAATCACAATAGGTCAGAAGTGTGTGATAATGTTTATAAAGACCAATCACTTGAATTCATGTCGCCCCCACCCTGTGCCCCCAAGACAAAATTCAGGGCTGTAATGTAAAGTAAAGTAATGGGCAGAAGCAACATACTGTCAAATTTTCTTAAAACTTCATAATCTCAAAATAACAACTTTATTATATATATATATATATATATATATATATATATATATATATATATATATATATATATATATATATATATATATATATATATATATATATATATATATCTGGATCAAGTTAGCAAGTGCACTTGCACCCTCTATTGATCAGCTGCCACTGCCCACCACCAACAACCCCAACCATCCAGACTACCCCAAAGTGGACGCACTGTGCCCAGCCCCCCTCCTCACATACTAGATCTGCAGCTCTTTCATGAGGAGCTGTGAGGAGATCTCCTGTATGTCCATGCGTCTCAGCAAAATAGTCACAGCTCCTCTCAGGAACCCACTTTATCAGATAACAAGACCCCAGTTTGACACTTGCAGAAGAAGCACACCTTACATTGTGACATGTGAAAGGCTGAGCCCTATCCTCAAATGGGCAGACATATGCATGAGCACTAGGCCCTAGGACAGCAGTTGTTTGAGTTGATATAAAATGGGTGAAGCTTGATTTTTGTCATCTCCAAACATTGCTTTACTTAAAGCAATGAAGACTATAGAAAAATGCTGCTCTCCATCATGGACAGTCCTGTTCACTCACTACATCAGACTATAAGAGGGACAGAGGAGCTCATTCTCCAACAGGCTCCTACAGCTCCGTTCAAACAGTAAGAGACACTGGACTTCATTCATACCATACTCCATACAACTGTACAACTCACCCTTATGTAACAGATAACTCTATGTCCTGTTAATCATCATTGCACTGTTTCTCTATGACCTCTTGTATATGACATTTTTGATTTTTTATTACTTATTTTTCAATTTTATTTTGACTTGTACATATACATTTATATAATTATACCTTATTTGACACATGTCTCTTGCTATAATTTTTGCTACTTATTTAGAATTTATTATTACCATTTATATTTTTTACTCTTTGTTATTATATATTGTGATGTTTTAGCTACTGTGTCTAAAATAATTTCCATTGTGGATCAATAAAGTTTGTGAAAGTCTAAGACAAATCATTGGTTTTGTATAAATCTGCTGGGATAGGGGACACAGGGCTCAAAACCCGGGACTGTCCCGGGTAAATAGGGACTGGTCTGGTCACCCTATAGGCCTACATAATTTAGGTAACTTTGCACCATAGACTGTGCCTGTCTAGCACCCAGTTGACCATGCTAGCTAAAATCCAATGCATAGTGAATATATTGAATATCTCTAGCCTGATGATTGCCTATGTGCAGTGTTGGGGAGTAACAGATTATATATACTGGCGTTACATAATTAGTATAACTGTATTCACTTACAGTTACTGTTTCAATGAGTGGTAATTGGATTACATTTACTTTGCTGAAATAAATGGATTACATGGCGGTATTCCTGTTTTCACATTTTGGGCTAAACCAGGACTAAACCAGGACTAAACCCAGGACTAAACTAGCACTAAATCCAGGACTAAAACCAGGACTAAACTAGAACTAAAACCAAGTCTAAACCAGCACTAAACTAGGTCTAAACATTATGACACCTAACAGTAGGATGGACATAATTTGACAGCAGTGATCTCATACAGAAATAATTTCTCTATCAATAATATTTTTAAGATGGTTAAGGAAAGACTGGTCTTTTAATTGTCTTTAAGCACGCAAAACATCTTATGTTAAGATATCCTAGTCTTTGTGCCTCTACAGAAAACAATTACCTGTTCATGGAGACTTGGGCTCAACAGCCAATTTGAAGACAACAAACAGAGTGTGCACTGTGCAGGATGTGGTTGCTGCATTCATGTCGTTTTAAAAAGAATGGCAATATCAAGTAATCCAAACTATTCAGATTACGTTACTCACTTTAAGTACCTTAATGGATTACGTTACAAACTACATTTTGGGGTATGTAAACTGTAGTCTGTAGGGGAATACGTTTTAAAAGTAACCTTCCCGCTTATGTGTCTAAATTCACAGCGTTTTGAACCCTTGGTGAACCTTGGCTTTGTGTTGTTGAACCTTGGCTTTGTGGGTGGGGTTGTTTAGGACCATGAGGAGCGTGCAGCGGCGTGAGGCGGACGTCCCTGTAGGAGCGGAGCATGTGTGAGAGCGGCGATAGTAGCGATAGTAGAGCAGCGATCGGTCTGTGGAAAAAGATGCTCAACGCGCTCTTCGTCTCATCTCGTGTCACTGATCCTGCTGCTCCACGGATCAAGTCCAAGCCCACTCATTCTGCGAAGGCCCCTGTGCCATGAGTCCTCCAGCCGTGTATGAAAACCAGAAGGATCCAAGATGCGGATAAAAGTGGTAATGTAGCCCAATTCTGTCGATAGCCTATTAATCATTCGTGGAGCGCTTTGGGAATGCGTCTTGTTTTCTGACCCCATTGTTAAATTCGTGATGTTTTATCGTTCGCTAATCCGAGAGGTGCTCCTTTGAATGAACTAGCGTTGACCAAATGCTATTTTTGTTACGGTTAGTGTTGTTTTTATGTGAGTGGTAGCTACATCTGACATTTCATGTGCAGTCTGGCATGAGGAAGCGCAGCTGTGATTATTCTTCTTTAAAACTATAATTACAGCAACCCCTTTTCGACCTCCCAACCCATATGATCTAAATGCGCATTGGCTTTATTATTGTACACACATTTTGATCAAATATTCTGTCTCATTACTCCGCAGTGCCGGGGAGTGAGTGGCATCCTCGCCGTTACCATGGTGACCAGCTTGATGTTGGTCTACAAAGTTATTCACAGTGACAGACCACCCATATCACCTTCATCAGTGGCCACATCTACCCACAGTTCAGCCCGGATGCCTGGTACTGCTGTGAAAATGCTCAACGAACTACCAGAAAAGCCCCCAGTGACAGTGCTTCAGGGATACACAGCTATCTTGGACAGAAAGGTAAGTTTTAAGACCCCTAACAAATCTGCTTGTAAGAATCATGAGGAAAATCCAAGCTACTCTGCTGATTTATTTTGTAAATATCAAATTATACCAAACAACATCACAGGATTTCCCTCTATGGTCTAATTATCTCTTATCTTGGGTGGGTTCCAGGGCTGGGCCGTATTCATGCATGATAAACCGTGAACAGTTTCCACAAGAGCACATGCAAACTGTACACACTTACTGGCTACTTTACATCTCCAGCCAAATAGGTTCAGCTGTAGCCCTCATAGCAAATGAGTGGTTGATATGGAAGTATATATCAGACAAATAATTAATAAAAAAAAATTAAAATAATATGAATAATATGAAGCTATCAGGAAACATATAAGTAACTAAGTAAGTCTTTATTTATATAGCGCTTTTCACAGACATATGTCACAAAGACGCTTTACAGAGCATTTTTTAGCATTATTCATTCACTCCATATCTTGTGATGGTAAGCTACTATTGTAGCCACAGCTGTCCTGGGGCAGACTGACAGAAGAGCGGTTTCCATGCGAATCGGCGCCATTGGTCCCCCAACCACCATCATCACACTCCACTTTCATACTTTCATACTAGGCAATGTGGGTGAAGTGTCTTGCCTAAGGACACAACGGCAATTACCGTGACTGGAGCCCTACTGTGGCACCTTATTTTCCCAGTGGTATCCCATCCAAGTACTAACCAGGCTGGTATGTAAGACTATAACAAGCACATGAACTGCCATTACAAGCCTGTAACACTGTATATCTAGTAATGCCCACGCTTCTTGAGAAGATCATGTCTAAAACATGAATATGTAAAACTAACTGTGCCTGTTTAATATTCTCCCTCCATAAATGTAAAGCAGAGAGGCGTGTACATTATCAGACATGCTGGAAATGGGGGTTTAGAGCTTCAGGCATTGCCACAGTATATTAAAAACTAGAATTCTGAAAACTGATTTGTATACTAAATGTTGTCCTTGGCTGCTTCTACGAGCAAGTCCAAGCTTCGGGAAGTGTTAATATTATACAATGGAAATGTCTTTTTTCCATTTGCTTATTTGGCTCTACAAGATGCAAATTTGTAAATGCAGAGTGTAAATGAAGTGTCCTCTCTGGCTTCTCACTACACTTTACTCCATTTCCCAATTTATATTTAATGCTGCTGCTATGAAATATTTAGACATGAAGTACTTCAAATGAGATAAGTTTCTGCCATTGCCAAGGTTTGTACTGCTCTGGAAAGATTTGAGTTAACTAAGTGCAAAAGATAATTATTTCTCTTTCTTTATTGTACATTTTCGTTATGATTCAGTGCCTCAATAAAAGAGATCAAAAATATTTACCCTCTAAATAACTCAACCAGTCAGGACCATTATATGCCACCAGCTGTCAGCTTCACTCCTTTTTATGTGTTGGCCTTGACAATTATGTTCCTTCCTGCAACAATTAGTTCGTGAAAGTCACATTTCCTTTCTTAAGCTTGAAATAAAACAATCATTCTGACAAAAAAGTATATTTTTGTTTCCATATTGATAAATCACAATTTTTAAAAAACTTTTAGTCTTATTGAAAACTGAAAAAATAGCTTTCAGTATTAATTTCCTTTGCTATTTAACACACACACACACAAAAAATCTTCCTTCAAACGCTTTTACACATGGAGGATGGGCTTTAGACGTCTTGATTAAAAAGTTGATAATTTACAATTAGAAATGACTGAATTGTGCACTATGCACTATGGTAGCGCTGCCTCTGATATTAAAGCTGTGCAGCATAACCATAGGCCGAATAAAGAAGATAGAAGATATTTACGATCTATGAGCATAACTGACCCTCATTTGGTTTTGATAGATTGTCTGGACAACACAGTGTAAACACAGCAGAGTGGAGAGGGCGATAGTTGATGGACTGCTATGATGCTATTATAAAACCTTTTATAGCGTTCTCAAAATATTCTTCATTTTGCTTGATTAAATTTAGACCAATTCAAAAATTATATGGTAATTTATAGCCAGTATTGTCTTTGAGCCAGTCCCAAAACTGGATGAATAAAATTGGAATCTAGTGTAAGCTTTCTGTCACATCAACATTCAAACCTCAGCAGACAGACTATATGCTGGAAAGGGAAAAACTGAAAGTAAAGAGCAGATGGTAGCTGTTATATCTGAGAGCTGCATTTGAGATTTGAGTGTTTTATTATTCAGAGTTTCACTTGGATGTCCACCAAGTATCTTGCACTGCTTGATGAATTCAGTGTGCAACAATTTCATGCCGTTTTGTGTCAATCTATCCCTCTGAGCTGCCTCTGTTGCTACAATATGGTGTGAATGGAGGAACCTTAAATTGACTCTGAGCTTCTGGGAAAAGCACAATACTATTATTATTATTATTATTATTATTATTATTATTATTATTATTATTATTATTGAAATGTGAATCCTGGAGTATTGTCTTCTTTGAGGTCATATTAGAAGAAAATATGTCCTCTTTAACAGAATCAGAGCTGCTAGGAAATGTTTTTGCCTCTCTCTCTTTTGACATTGACTTTGGCTACAAGTTTTTTTTTTCTTTCTCTGGGATAGATTGAGAAGTGGAGTTTCTAACGGCATCATTTTTTCCTAGCCAGGTTATCTTATTACGTAGTCCCAGACATAAACCACTGCAGTCTCATTGTTTGAAGTACAGATTCAAATGCTATATTTTACTAGCCTTGTTTCCTTCATCCCCTTCCTGTCTTGAGTTCAATTTAACAATAAAAGCTTGTCATTGTGATGTGCAACATCAAAAAAAGCTACATTCAGTCCTCTGTAAAGCATGTAGATCTGATATCAAACACCAGCTAAAGTGTCACCCAACCTTCTTCTTCTCTTACCGGATCTGTTAACCTAATTCAGGGGAGTGTCAAAAGTATACAATTACCAATGCAGTTATTACTGCTACTAATTGTTACATTACACTGCTTGTTTTTTATAGCCTTTGTCAAAAATTTCTGGAACTCGATCCGTATTGAAAATTTTACATTAAAAGTACACTGTGTAACTTTTAGGCAGAAGCTCAGCCATCTTCATGTCTCTATGGAGATGTTGTATTTCCTGGATTGTTTCACAGCAATGCATTAAAACTCTTCAGGGAGACAAACAGGCAACACCATCAGGCCAAGTTACAGGTCAAATCTGGGGACACCTGGGACATTTTATTAATAAAACACCTATACTAGAATAAACTAGAAAAGCACTCAGAGAGCGCAGACCTCCGCCAAGGACTACCCCCATTTTTTATATAAATTGTGATAAAGCAGTCTCCTGGATCAGCCTTTGGAATATGAAAGAGGATCCCATTGTCCATCCCTGAGTCAAATTTCATGGGGTTTGGTCAATAATTAACCGAGATATTGAGAAACAAAATTTTTGGCCCCATTACCACAATGTTAATAAAATTTCAAAGTGATCCAGAATCCAGGATTTCTTCCGGATCACCCCAAAATGAAATCAGTTCTTCCTTTTCACATTTCCAACAAATCCTGAAAATTTCATCAAAATCGGTCCATAACTTTTTGAGTTATGTTGCTAACAGACAAACAAACAAACAAACAAACAAACAGACAAACGCCAGCAAAAACATAACCTCCTTGGCGGAGGTAATTAAATTTATATACATTTCATTACAGGCAAAGGAATAACATTGCCACATCACTAAGTGCTGGAAATTAGCACTTGTGCTTAAAACACTTAAAACAATATTCATGGCCGAATCCAATGTAACTGTGATGTCCATATTAAATAAATAAATAAAATAAAGGCAGACAGGTGGCGAATTCTGTAAAAAAAAGTTACATAGTTCACCTTTAATTCTTAAGAGGCCAATCTGTAATAATAGTTAATAAAAGATACAAAATAGTTCCTCTCTACTCCCCTACGAACTCAAAAAACCCTCATTCCAAGTTGTTCACAGTGTATCAATCTCAGTGACAGAATGTATTGCAGGCTGGAGGATGTCTGGTGCAATATGGTCCTGAATGATGGGTTTGACTCTCAAAGCAATTATGATGCGTCCTTTCTTTCGGGAGGTGTACAAACAGGATTGAGATGACGAGTATCGGTCTGTGGGTGGTAATCGACTGGGAGTGTTGCTAAAGCCGCTAACTGTTTCATCTGCTCATTTTAATGCACTTTGAAATCTAATGGACATAAACATCTAAGTGCCCTGACCAGATTTAGCAAATGCTCTTTCTGATATAATAGTCTGAGAAAATGTGTTGATTTAAAGGTCATGCATTATTGATCAAGGTTGAAACTGTACAAGAGATACAGTGGGAGCAGAACTGCTGGACCTGTTAACTCTTCGATTATTTCATTTCATGTATTCAAAATAAAACTTACCCTCTATCTGAGTTCTAAGTGATTGCACTTAGCGAAGACCACATAATATGATACAAAACTAGGACTTGAACTGAAGTCTAGATTTTGTCATTACTATCATATGCTTGGGTCTTGAGAGGTCCACAGCCAATTCTGTGGCAGTAAAAATATACAAATCTGGGCAGGTGCAGCCTTTTGTTGGAGAAAATGTTATTGTGTTGCATATCGATGATTGAACTGGTTGAGAAACAATCAGTTCTTTTCTTGCACTGTACAATCACATCCACACACCTCAAATGATGAGTGTGAAGTTTTGATCTCCAATACTGAACTCTATTAAAGCTGGAGTACCTGATTTTCAAACCTTGAAAGATTAAGACTGTATTTAAATCTAACTAACTCTAACTTGGCACATCACTGATATTCATATGCAAGAAATATATGGCCAGTACCACAGCTTTAAAACAGCTTTTTCAGGATGAAAAGTGAAGTTAAGTAATCATCTGTCCATCTCATTTTTGTCATTATCTGGTGGGAAAAACTGAATTTACTCATTTATGAGAAAAATTGTGGATACTGGTAATGTAATTAGATGTATAAATATGAAAAGACTCCAATAGAGATTCCAACAGTATAGGTGCAAAACTGCAATGCATGCTACAATCAGTATTTTTTAGAGAGGTCAAATATTTGCATTCTCTGATTCAATAAATATGTCTTGTTGAATATTTGTGTGTTTGGATGTAGATGGAGTGAAACTGGTTAAAATTAAAAGGCAAAACATCCCTCACTATCCTTGAATGTGAGAAATTGCTTTTGTTATTTATTGTGGCTTCTTTTACTTCCTCAGCCCTTGAAGATGCATTGCAAAACATGTGCCCTTGTAACCAGCTCCGGACAACTAGTCAGCCGAAATATGGGTGAAGAAATAGACCAATCAGAATGTGTGATTCGTATGAATGATGCTCCCAGTCTTGGCTACCAAAGGGACGTTGGCCGGCGCACCAGTCTACGTGTAATAGCTCACTCCAGCCTCCAGAGGGTACTAAGGAATAGGCAGCAGCTGTTCAACTCCAGTCTGGAGACAGTCTTTATTTTCTGGGGTCCAAGTCACCTCATGAGAAGAGACGGCAAGGGTCATGTTTACAATCACCTGCGCCTGTTGAAGCAAGTGATGCCGACACTCAAAATCTACGTGATCTCTCGGATTCAGATGCTGAAATTTGATGAGCTATTCAAGAAAGAAACTGGCATAGACAGGTAACTGAATTAGAGCTGAACATGATTAATAAGCCTATGAAACACCCCATACAAAATGAATAGGCTTAAAATGATTGTTGACAAATGTCTTCCTTATAAAGGGAGGCGGATTTGCACATACCAAGCCCACACTGTAATAAGACTCCAGATACTTGTCCTTATGTACAGATTGTCAGTCTATGAATGTCTTAACTTTTATCTCATCAATAAAGACAACTTGACATTTGAACACAACCATTAGATTAAGTAGGTGAAATGCGTTGGTGTGACTATTAATAAAGACACCACAAATCAGAGTGCCTCTGCCATCCTTTTTTCCACTCCACAAGAATCTAAGCCCTTCCGGTTTGATGAGCACCTGTATGTGTAAGTTTTTGATCCACTGCAGCACTCTAATATTGTTATCTTTACAACCATTAGATTAGTTGGATTAAGCCCTAATGCTTTAGGCTTTCGTTTTGTCACTGTCCCTCATATTTACCCTGCTGTACAAACGTGATTCTTTAAAAAGGTATTAAATTTGTATAATGTATTTCAGGAAAAAATCCAACTTATGGCTGAGCACTGGCTGGTTCACCATGGTCACAGCCCTGGAGTTGTGTGACAGAATCAGTGTGTTCGGCATGGTGCCACCCGACTACTGCAAGTAAGTGATGCAATAACTGCACCATATCATGGGACTAAATTAATTAATTTGATTTTAAGAAAATAAAAACTTTAAAGACTTTAAAGACTTTGAAGCTCTATGAAATGTCACAACTTTTATATATCTTTAGCTAATTAAAACTTTTTTAAAAGCCTCCTATAGACATGCAAAATTTAAACATTTGTCCAATGCATTTACTATGTTCTTATCAAGTTAAACAATAAATTAAATAGCATGTTATAAGTGCATGAATATTATTTGATTAATCCTTATTTCTTTTCGTAGAATCTCAGATTTGCTTTTTGTCACCGTTGTATTTAGTGCAGAGGGCAAACAGTTGCTATTGTTGCTCCGGTCTGAGATATAGAGAGAGCCGACAGCACATTTGTGTTGCCACATAAAAGTCTTGTGCATATTTAATGATGCCTTCCATGTGAGAGACAGTGTAGTGGTTTCATGCACAGTTACTTCAGCACAGTTGCTGTAGGGAAGTGAAATAGTAATAACAGTACATAGTGACTTTACAAAAAAAATAGAAAGAAATACTGTTCAGTAATTTAATTGGTGATGTCCTAAATGTAAATTGTCTTATTGTTCTGCTAGATGAACTAAAGGGCTTTGTGTGCAGGCAATGGGTTTAATGCTGTGGTTGTGAATAATAATACACACAGAGCATTGAGTTCTTCTGATCTTTCTGTCTGTCTTCGTTCAGTCTCTGAGTGGTTCCTTCTGAGCCTGTTGTTTTCTCAGCCTCTACACCTCCTCTCCATGGCACTCAGCACAGTTTGTTTTATTCTCTCTCTTTATCCTCTGCAGATCGTCCACGCGTCGCTCCGTGCCATATCATTACTATGAGCCCTCAGGGCCAGAGGAGTGCTCCATGTATCTGTCTCATGAGAGGAGCAGGAGATGGAGCCATCACTTCATCACTGAGAAGAGGGTCTTTTCGAACTGGGCCCAAAATCAGAGCATAGACTTCCACCAGCCACAGTGGGCACCCTCTGCTGTCAGGAACAGTTCATTCAGTGTTGCATCAACTGCTGTTGTTGCTGGATCCTGAGGTTTCTTTAGTGTGAGTACGGTGTGAAATATGAGTGTGGACACTTTTGGCCATACACAGCCACAACTGAGTTGTTACAGTGGTTGTTACAGCTGTTCACCCTGTTCTCAGTCAGCCTAGAAGATATGCACAGAGCAATAACAGTGTTGTGGAAATTTAATGGGATGAAGTCAAGTCATAGAAGAGTTAAGAAAGTTTAAATGGCAAAGGAGACAGAGTTTTATTTTCTGTGGGGTTCCTTCTTTTTATATAGATATTTCTGTTTCACATATGCTATAAAAATGCATCTGCTCCTGAAAAACAAACTAATCCAGATGGGAGTTGATTTTTCTCTGGTTAGTTGGATTACAGATTACCTCACTGGGAGACCTCAGTATGCCCAACTGGCGGACAGCACCTCTGACACTGTTGTCTGCAGCAGCGAATCTCCACAGGGGACTGTACTACCACCAGTTCTGTTTACCGTGTATACGTCAAACTTTAGATACAACTCAGAGCAGTGCCACATGCAGAAGTACTCTGACACAGGCACTGTGGGCTGTATCAGGAACAGTGACGAAGGGGAATGCAGGCAGCTGATTGAGGACTTTGTGTTTTGGTGCACGGCTAACCACCTTCAATTGAACACTCCAAAGACAAAGGAGATGGTGGTGAACTTAAGGAGGGCTAGGCCACAGCTGCTGCCTGCGACCATTGAGGGGGACACTTTGGAGGTTGTAAAGAATTATAAGTATTTAGGCTTACATCTCCACCACAGACTGGACTGGTCTGAGAATACAGACTTGGTCTACAGAATGGGACAGAGCAGGCTGTACTTTCTCAGAAGGCTGAAGTCCTTAAACATCTACCAGAAGCTCCTGCTGATGTTCTACCAGACAGTTATTTCCAGTGTCTTCTTCAATGCTGAGCTGAGGAAGCCTCAAGAAAAAGGATGCCGTGCGCTTGGATAAGATGTTGAGGAAGGCAGGATCTGTAATGGGTGCAAATCTCGACTCACTCACATCTGTGGCTGAGAAGAGGGGCCTAAATAAGCTCCTGTCTATCCTCGATAACCCCCAGCACACCCTGCACAGCACCAGAATTTGCTGCTACCCTCTACCTATAGGGATGACTGTTAAAAAAACACCTACACCATTATTATCATAGCTGTCAACAGTAACCCTCAAAAAACATGTGTGGTTCATACTTAAAACTAATCTGGTTATTATCACATAATTATTGCATTTAGAGACACTAAATTCATGTTGGTAAGGTTTGCCCCTATAAAAGATTCACTACAATGCAGGATAGATACTGTAATGGACTAGACCACCATTAACAGGTAGAACATGCGTGTCCCCTCCACTGTAACCAGAAAGAACTAATTGTTTGCTGTCCTTTTGTGTGTTCTTTTGTGATTTTAGCAGAAGCGCCTGTACTCAGGTGGAATGTTAATGTGGTAACGCTCTCACGCAGAGCGGGGTGTCATGCTAAGTGCACTGGCTGCTCCTGTGATCCACGGACTGCACTCTGCAAACCAATTACCTCCTCTTCAGGTAGAAAGGTTGCGATGTAAAGGCTTCAAAGGACAGACGGGGTAAAAAGAGCCCCACAGCTGTTATCTGTAACGCATTATTATTACCGACGACCTTGGAATACAAAGGCAGGGACAATCAGACATTTTATGAACTAATTTGGGATTAATGTATTAGCTGTATCAAGCCGTATTAAATTTCTTATGGTGAAACACAAATGCTAAATGGTGTTGTTCTTGCTATATAACATGCTGGTATGCTTTAATTTAATTTCTTAATTTGAATTCTTATTAATAAAAATATATTTGCCAAAGAAATTGAAACTAACATCTTTTAAATAAAGGCTTTCCCATTAATTCTCTCATTTGTTCATTTTCATCTGCAGATGCTTCTTGTCAAGCTGAATTTCCCTGTGTGCTTTGCAGTGGCATTTGGGATAAGAGTCTCACCTCCACAAACCTTTTGACACAGTACATCCTGAACTGTAATTATAACACTCAAGACGTGTTGAGGCCATGGGGGAGCGTGCAGGTGTAGTGGTAGTGGAAGCAATAATGAACAGGCCCACAATTTTATCAAATATAATCAGGTTGGTTAATGATGTTTGTCATGAATGTTATTCTGTAAGAAGGAAAACATACAAGTCAGTAATGAGTCTTTGCTACCACCTACTGGACACGTGTATCATCTGGATTCTGCATCAGATTTTTGTCATGTAGTGCAGTGTTTCCACCCAGGGTACGAGCACCCATGAATGTGCATGAGTACTACCATAGAAGTAAATTTGTTTCAGATTTTGGTGAAATGTAATTTTAAAAAATGTTTGTAGTAAACTTTACACTTTGGATGCTTTGGATGATTGTAAGCACAAATACAATTCAAGTAAGAAAATATACTAGTAAAATACTATAAAATAAACAGATAAAGTACCCAAGTTAGGGGGTAATTTGAATGTAAGAAAAAGATAGTAGCAGTAGTAGTGTATTTGCCCTAAATCAGGCTATGAAACCACCATGAACAAAAGCAAAATGCTCACAGATTTTAAGCATATTCAGAGTATTACATTGGATGTAGTCATTCATTTTCTGTGGTAAGTTGCCATGTTTAACACAACCGGGGCTCAGGTGCAGGTTTGTTACAGCCATTCACACACATTCCCCATCAGACATGCTAACTCATGCACAGTTTTAACTGTAACTTTTCTGGTGAACTGTCCATCAAATGCTTTTCTCCATGGAGATGTTATTGCTTTATCTGGAATGTTTCACAGTATGGTATTAAACATTTCTATCTTAATGGAGACCAACCGGACCAAGTTACAGGTCAGATCTGTGGACAGGCAACCCTGCTCACAGCCTGAATGCCTGTTTTTTTGGATATGCCTGTTTTTCTGGATATTTACCACCTGTATTTTAATAAATGTAAGGCAGAATTGTTTAATGTCATGCTGTAGAACATTCCACGCGGAGCAGTGACATATGTCATATGACGTATCCATAGGAACAAGCTGGTGATGGATCCTCCACCAGAAAAGTTACACAAAGCACCTGTAAAATTCTAAGTTTGACAAGTGAATTTGGAAAAGCTAACCTTATATTGGCCTGTATATACTACTCATGTTTTATTTTAATTTTTATTTACACATTTTGAGGTGATTGCTTCAGACATTACTTGCCTTTAAAGGTTATCTATAATTTATTGCTTAGAATAATCTTGGCACAAAGGTTAAAGAGGAGAAAGCCCAAATAAACTCTTTAATTTCATTGCAAACTTTGGTCCACCACCATTTGTGAAACCACACTTTAAAATCAGTTTCAGGGAAGTCATTCTAAATACAATCTATGTAAGATGATACATGGTTCCATGTAACTTTAAGGCATAAGAAACCATGCTTGGTTGGACTTCCAGTAATTCATTTTATGACTTTCCACTGTAATGTAAAAGTTCAGCTTCAGTGAAAATGTCCTAAAAGCACTTTGGTCAGAGAGCCTTTGAGAAAACAGGAGTGGCAGAAGCTTACATGTGCAGCCCTGAGTCTTGGCCTGATAGTGATTATAGATGGAGGAAGTCTCAGCAAAAGAGCCTGCATTATAGGTGATTTTCCCATCTTACTCAATCTACTGTTGGCTTCAGGCTAGCCCATTTTGCGGTGGCTAACAAAACGTGATTGTGCTCCATGTCTGAACTCTGAGTCATTGTCTCTGTCATTACTTGGGGCAGCTCTGACACCACACGTCCAGCTGTAATGTCACCTGCTTTTAGATTTCCAAGTATAGATAGAAATAAGTCACCATTAACCAACATGTGGAGGTGTTAAGAAAGAATTACAGAGGAAAGTGAGAAATATGTGTGGCTAGTTTCTGTGCTGTCTAAGCTTTGACATTTATACTACTGCATTTTTGTGCTATATGGTATAATGTTGGCGTAATGGATTAAAAACACTGGCCACACAGCAGTTACCCCTTTGACCCATGCGGTGCTAGATACAAAGAGTAATGTTTCTGTATGTATCTTTCTCTTTGACACTGAGAGAAGCACACCGCTGAGATACCCTTTTTGCTGTTAGGGCATTTATCGTATTCCTATACTTGACAGCTCCTACTGGAAGCTTTACTGAACACTGAACACTGAACAATGAACTTGCATCAGTAATAGTTAGTTAGTAATAGTTATCGAGACTCTAATGCAGTTTTTAATGGTGAAATTATTGTGTTAATAATGGACAGGGCGTATTTGGTAAGTGTTCATAAGATTATTATTATTTGTTTTTTCCTTCTGTGTTCTTTGATTCGTGGCACAAATAAAATGTAGATGTACTAATCTAGTGTGGGGTGTCACTGGTTTAATGAGTGCCTCTGAGCTCCAGCTTGTTCTTGATGAAGTGGAACGAACATGCTGTTTTAAGGGAAGAGACATTCTACTGCATGAACAGCAACAATTGTGAAGCTACAAAACATGTTTGGAAATAATCAAATACATTTTACTATTTGCTGTAAATTATATGAACAAACAGTAAATCCAACATTGGTAAAACTTTGATAACAGTTTTACTGTTAACTTTATTAACCTCATTCAGACCAAACAAAGACAAGTGCTTTTTCGCAATTTAGTCTTTATATTTGTAAGCATTCACACAAGGGCATCTGTGAACAATTTTGTCATACCTTATATTTAGACTGTTCAGTGTTGCCAAACAATCTTTGAAAACAACCACTGTCAAAGCACTGGAATTTCTTATTCATTAAAGTTCACCACATGAGTGGAACACAAACGACATCACCATCAAGTATTTAATTAAAACGATGTAACATAAAGTATGATAAACATAAAGAATTAAGTTATTTGCAAGTGACTGACAGCATAAAAGATAGTAAATTGCAATGGCAAAAATAAAAATGTGTTATAAAGTTTTGTTAAATTTTTTTGTTAAGTGTCAAATATCTGAATAAGTCTTTGTCTGATTTGATATAAGTGGACAGCCACTGAGGTGGGCTGTGTTATATTGATGCTGCAGCTCGTCCTTCTCTCACTTACAGTTGGCTCCAGCACAGGAGAGGTGCCACATCGGGGCTTTCAAAGGAATATTATAGTGTTATGATATTGATCCACCACCAGACCAACAACATCATTATTTGTGGATACTTGACAACTAAGAGGAAATGGATTTGGGCATGTGGTACAAGAAGGATTTAAGAACTCACAAAGAGGTAAGGAAATCCATTGGAACTTTCTTTACAGTCAATTTTACCGATGTATGGAGCCAATGTTGTTCTGAGGGGTGTAAAATTGGGACCTTTTGGCATTTTGTGCAGTTTTAATGAGCCCCTGTGTGTACTGCTTGTTTATGTGACTAGAGTATGCTGGTCAATGGGAGCACAGGGTCAAGCTGCAGAGCAGAGATGAAAGCTAACAGCACCTGCGCCTCCCCTGAGCTGTCCGTCACCACCTCAGTCATCTCTATGAGTGTGGGGATCCTGTCCAACAGCCTGGCCCTCTTCATTCTGTTCAGGTCTTACAAACGAGTGCACACTAGACCAGGGCTTCCTTCCTCCTGTTTGCCAGCAGTTTGGTCATCACTGATTTGCTTGGGCATGTCATCATTGGGGGCTTGGTGCTCTTTGTCTACAGCTCTCAGAAGATGTGGGACGTGTTTGATCCCCACCGTGTCCTGTGCAGTGTGTTTGGAGCCTGTATGGTGTTCTTTGGCCTGAGCCCTCTGTTCCTGGGGAGCCTTATGGCTGTGGAGCGCTGCATTGGGGTGACCCGGCCACTGTTCCACTCCACAGCAGTGGCAGCCCACCACATGAAGAGGCTGCTGGGGCTGAGCTGGCTGCTACCCGCTCTAGTGGCAGTGCTGCCAGTGCTGCTGAGGAGACCGTACAGTGTGCAGAGCTCCAGGAGCTGGTGCTTCTTCCACATGGAGCAGCCCCAGGACTGGCTAGACGTGCTGCTGCCTCTGCTCTTCTCTGGTCTGGGCTTGTTGGCTCTGCTTCTCTCCATAGTGTGTAACACTTTCACCAGCGGCACCCTGCTGCAGTCCCGCTTGAGGCGCAGACACCTCTCCAGGAGCACGTCCTACCACCTGGAGATGATCTGCCAATTGCTCGCTATCATGCTGGTGTCCTGTGTGTGCTGGGGCCCACTGCTGGTGAGCATTATATCATTGTACACTCTGTAATTAAACAATGAAGACAGTCACAGAGGAAAGACTTTGTTCAGTTATAAGCTCCTGTCCCAGTTGATTGCAAACTTAAGTATTACCATAAATACAGTTTATTATCACAGTTGTAGAGCCTTCACTGGACGACATGACTTTGTCAGAACACATCAGATAATAATATTATCTTTACTTATCTGTCTGGTTTAATGGTGTATGTGTCAGCAGGTGTAAAATGGCTGGAATGTATGTATGTATTATTATTTGGAAATGCAGAGCTTGCAGAGGTTTCCTGTTGCACTAGTTACTGTGATGTGAAGATGATTTATCTATTGTGAATTTTATCCATGATTAGTCTTACATTTATGTGGTATAGTGGATTACAAGATACACAAGGCAAACATTAGATAAAAACAACAAGAAATACTCACAAACAATTAATAAAAGAAAGTATTACAGCATACTGATCAGTGTGTGGAGCAGTAAATACTGCAGTGACTATAGACATGCACATGAAAACAAATACACAATAATAAGCCGCTTCATTAAGAAAATGTAGCTTGTCTGATTGTTCCACTGCTCTGTGATGTCCAGGTCTGTATCGTTGTGCTGAGTATTACAAGCAGGCAGGAGCCAGAGACTCACAATCTGCTGATGGCCGTGCGGATGGCCACGTGGAACCAGATCCTGGACCCTTGGGTGTACATCCTGCTGCGGAAGTCTGTCCTGAGGAAACTTTTCATGTTGGTGCACAGTATGTGGACTGTGAGGTCTTCAGAACTACAGTTGTGGCAGAGCAGTGTGCAGCGCAGTTCAGTGAAAACCAGTCATTCAGGGCTCAGCCCCATCCAGGGTCTGAGAAAGGCACCTTTGAATGACACTATGATTAAATCCATCTCCTAAAACACTCTTGACTGTCCATGTGAATGCACTGTTTATTTGGTTATGTTTGTGTAGAAACATAAACTATGCTGTTTTTTAGTTCAATGTGAAATGACAAGTTGCACTGCATAATGTGGGACCTCTACATCTGTATTTTTGAACAAATTGTTTTGTGTGACAATACTGTAGTTGTTTAAGCTGTTTGTGTATTATGACTTGTAAAAGAAAAATAACAGCATAGCCTATAGCCTAGTATAATGCAGTTTTGTGAAATTATCTTTTGTGTTTCTTTCTCCAATGGGAAATAAGTAAGGTTGTATACCCTACATTAAAACTTTCCTGTCAAATGAAACAATACTCCAGGTTATCAAGAAATAGACCACAGATTATTTTAAAGTAGGGCATTAGACTAGAATATTATATAATTACATTAAACAGAATGTAACTGGATAAAATAACCCAAGATAGTAAATAAGAAATTGAGAACATCTCTTTACAATAGAAAGTCTCTGGTGTTTTTGTTGAACCCTTCGTGTCCAGTGGGTGGCAGCAGTGAGCCGCAGTGATGTCAATGCGGAAGAGAAGCTCCGTACGTGAGTGACGTAATCGGCTCTCAGACCTCCATCTTTCAGTGCCGCATGTCTCTGTGGACATTTGAGCAGGTTTGGCAGCAAAGACATTCATTTGTGGGGCGTGTGAAGTGGCTGGAGGCTTTAGGGTGGTCGGTGCGCGGAGGTGGTGAAGCTGTGTGACGCTTTGCGGCTGGGACAGGCCGTGAGAGTTTTCTGAGCGGCCTCAGTGTTTTCATCTGGACAGCTGCTAACCAAAAACACAGCCTCCGTCCAACTACACACTGCATTAGATTAGCGCGATCTACCTTTATATTTAGAAGCAGTCAGTGTGTTTGCCACTGTATTGATGAAACACGTTCCTCATGTAGGAAGTAGTGTGCTGTTTTTCACAGTTCCTGATATATTTCACTTCAAGTATGTTCTACAATTCTTATTTGCAGGTTACAACATGAATCAGGAGAAATTGGCTAAGCTTCAAGCCCAGGTTCGGATAGGTGGGAAGGTAAGGGATCGAATTGTCATGTGCCAAACTTAGGACTGATTGATTATTTAAAAATGTAATTTACCTTTAACATGTTTTGACTTAAGAGGTAATGATATTATAACTAATAACAATTTATCAGATTTTAATAGCAGTATAGAAACAGGCTGTAGGCCTGATGTATTTCATGAAAATATATCAAGGTGAACTTTAAATAATGCACAATTTGGCATGAGCCTTTATAAACAGTTTACATTTAGAGTAATATCCAGCTTAAAGCTTTAACTAGTTTATTGTCTTTTTCACAGGGGTCAGCGCGCAGAAAGAAGAAGGTGGTGCACAGAACAGCAACAGCTGATGACAAAAAACTTCAAAGTTCACTGAAGAAGCTGGCTGTCAATAATATAGCGGGGATTGAGGAGGTAAATGGTATGGAAGGATTGAGTAAACTCAAGATATTTTATTTTTTTATCATTCTACTAGTAATTACATCTTTATATGCAAACCATTAAAAGGTGTCATGTTTAGAGATTTTTTTAAGTGGTCAGTTATGTAGTACTTATATTTCTGTAGTACTTATGTTTCTATAGAAAATACAAACACACAAGTTGAACACAATTCACAGAAAACAAGATCATGGTTTTAATGAAAAAAAAAAAAAAAAAAAACTTTGGCAATTTTCTCTGAACATTTATATTTTTAATACATCTTTCAGGTGAACATGATAAAGGATGATGGGACTGTTATTCACTTTAACAACCCCAAAGTGCAGGCGTCTTTGTCTGCAAACACGTTTGCCATCACAGGCCATGCTGAGACCAAGCAGCTGACGGAGATGCTGCCTGGGATCCTCAGTCAGCTCGGAGCAGACAGTCTCAGCAGCTTACGCAAGCTCGCTGAACAGTTCCCCCGCCAAGGTGCGTGAAACCATGATTTATACAGTGTGTGGACTGACATTTGACTGAGGACTCAAAAAAATTATCATAGAAACAACCCTACATGTGTGAACTGAAGTCTGAATTATTTTTGAATAGAGGCAAGTAAATGAGGATTGAGATAAGGAGTAGGTCAAAACAGCAATTTTCTGAGCACTCAAGCCTTGAATGCAGGACAATACAGGATTACTCAAACAGGCATTAATTTATCCAAACACAAATGTACTTTGAGTAAACTAATAATGAAGAAACCCAATTATAACATGACTAAAAGCTGATAAAAGTAAAGTAGTAGCAGTATAATGTCTCCTTGAAGGAAGCGAAGGGACAGGATTTTAAACATTTGAAGAGCCCAAGAACTCTGTCCGGTGTCCATCATGTCTGTCTAGTACCTCACTATTATATAGAGTGAGTGTTGGGATGAGATACTAATCCCACGAAATGAGACAAAACAAGATTGATATAATTTATAATATATGAATTATTTTGTTAAATAGTGAGTGCTGTTAAATCTGTTTGTCTTTTAGATAGGTGACGGTTTAGTCAACTGTCCCATAATCATTATGATCAACCAGAGGTGACCCCTGTCAACACAAGATTAAGATAAGATAAATGTTAAGAGAAATGCAATGCCACTAGAACAATTTGTTTTTTTAAAAATGTTTATCAATAAACTGTCACCTCACTGTAAATATATAAATCAGCAGTAATAATGCATATCACAAGCCTTCATAGTTGCCAGGAGGAAAGATAGAAAGATGGTCAGTAGTTATTTTTCTATATTCTATAAGCTTTGTTTTCTTTTTCTTGATGTCATAGCTCTCGACAGTAAGGCCCCCAAACCAGAAGACATAGAGGAAGAGGATGATGACGTTCCAGGTAAGGTGTCTAGCAGTGCAATTTGAAATTGATTCACACTAAAACTAAAGAAATTATTTGAAAGAACCTTTGCTTTTTATTTACAGACCTGGTGGAGAACTTTGACGAGGCATCCAAGAACGAAGCCAACTGACACAAGTGGGTTTGATTTGCTTTAACAGACTGCAATGAAACAAGACTCATTCTCCTCTGAAACTGGAGACATTAACAATTCCCTCTGGATTCTGGGCTGACAGTGTAAAACAGATTACTCTTCAAATATGTGGTCAACTCCCTACAACATATACATCGTCAGCTATGTCCAGGATTCCTGTGATTATCATCGCTAGTCTTAATACGTTTTTGTTTTTTAAACCAATAAAGGTGATTAACATTTTAGATGGTGATGATGTGGTTCTTTGGTGTGGAAATTGTGTTAATCCTTTTTGTTTATAATATGTTGCACTAAAATAGGCTACACCACCTATTAAATATGTCTATGCATATCTGAAGTTGAAGTCCTGCGGTGAATTGGGGGCGTTTTTTTTTTTTTTCTGGCACCGCTGCTCTGTGGTCTTGGCTCACGCGGGGTCCTGCGGGCTGTAGAAAGCAAACTGGGGAGGGACATTAGTGCACACCTCTTGAGTTTCTTCAAAGAGCCGCAGAGAGAGGAGGAGATCAGAGAGGGGGGCAGAAAGGGGGGCAGAGAGGCAAATCATCCCGCGTTTCGATCGTGAGCAAAGCCCAGCGCTCTGACTCACGGAGCGAAGGGAAAATGCTGAAGTTTTTCAGTCCGCGGGATGATGAGAACGAAAGTCTGCTGGGAGCCATAACAGAAGGTAAGACACGAGTAACGTTATCAGGGCGGAGATGCTTTACCACTCGCTCATTCACTGCCTGCGTGACGGGATGTTGTCACTGAAAATGCTGAAGCAGCAGTTGCGCCGCGTATACACCGCATCCTATGTCAAGCCCGTGTGCGCGCGTGTCGATGTGCACAAGGCTGTACACGGTGTCCATTGGTCCGGTCACATATGAAGCTGTGGTTTGGGTGATGTAAGGGTCCGACTGAGTGTCGCATTGCCACCGGCCGAGCTGGCCGTTAAACAAGTGCACGTGTGTTGACGACTGCGTCACTGTCCCGTGAAGCGAGCTTCAACTCGTGCAGAAATAATTATTTTATTCATTCCAGTGTTATATGACCGCAGCAAAAATGCACCACAGAGATACCTGAGAAAATGTGTTTGAATTTGTAATGCGGCTAGTAGAATGGACAGAAGCTGAAGCATTCGTCCGGAGATGGCGTGCACTCCTGAGTCATGGGTATTCATGAATCACTTGGATGTGCCGCTCAATGAAATGCCATGGGAAGGCTATTAGCTCCCTTTGCGTGGCGTCCCGCTAATTTACAGTAATGGTTATGTTACGTGACAACCATTCGTAGGCAAAACCCCATGAAGGGTGTTGAAACAACAGTAATTGGATTTTAATTCAGAAGATTAATTTCATACAGCACTGTTTACAATGACATGCTGTCCCAGTCAACAGAAAAGGCATAGTACATATAGGTAATTTATCATAATGAAAATAGACCGTAGCTATATGTTATATATATATATATATATATATATATATATATATATATATATATATATATATATATATATATATATATATATATATATATATATATATAGAGAGAAAGTATAGACTACAATATGTAGCACAGTGAACACATAAATCACATTTTGCTACAACAGTTTTGGTTATCCAGAGACCTTGTGTAATATATTTCTATTTTGACTATACAAGTGCACATTGAAATAGCTTAGACTACAGAATTGGTTTCCACCTCTCAAGGACAGTATAAAAACTGTCTGTGGTCATGCAAAGTGTGAGGTGAAGTCAGTCATGTTCAATTAGTGTGTGTGAAGCTATCCCCTAATACACTATTAAATGTATGGCATGTGTGACTGTGCGTGTATTTTTGAAACAGATGAAGGAGACATCCATCTCTCACAGACACAGCACTTCATAGGCTTTGCTTGTGCTCAAAGATCACAGACACTATTCCAAGAGAGGGACCAGGATCGAAAACATTGACTGTTCACATGCAGATTGTTTCAGCTGGACTGCACATCACAGTTTGCTGCCATTGATTGACCTTGACATTGAATAATTTACTGTATACCATTGATATAAAGCACATTGACCTGAGTTAACTGTGAGCTGTGGTGCATGGTTGAAGAGACCTTGTGCAATGTTTCTAGACTGTGCACATTGATAATAGCTTAGACCTTAATGTATATGAGATCAATTGGTTTCCACCTCTCAAGGACAGTTGTGCACTAATGAAAAACTGTCTGTGGTCATGATTGAAAGCTGTGAGGTGAAGTCATGGATCAGCATGTTCTTTTAAATGGCCACTTAGTGTGTGTGAATACAGCTATCCCCCTAATACACTATTATTAATGTATGGCATGTGTGACTGTGCGTGTAATTATGATTTTTATGAAACAGATGAAGGAGACCATCCATCTCTCCAAGACACAAAGCAGCACTGGCTCAATAGGCCTTGCCTGCTTGTGCTCAAAGATGAAGATGCACTCAAATCAGGAACGCCAGAGTCTCCTTCTAAAACTGCTACAGACGTTCCAAGAGAGGGAACCCAGGATCCGAAAACATGTGACCCTCCGGCCAAGACGCCTTCACCCTCTCCACTGCAGACCAAACCCCAGAAGGTGCTCAAACAGCTGGAGGAGGGGAGCTGCACCATCACATCTATTTCCACTTGGTCTGAGGAGGGATTTGGAGAGGCTGCCAGCCCCCTGGTGCTGAGTCCTGCTGAAGCTGCTTGGCCAGAGGAGGAGGATGGGGAGAAGGAGCCCCAGAAGGTGATTTCTAAAGAGGACTCTGTGGTTGAGGAGAAAGAGCTGGAGGAGACCAGACTGGAGCAGTGTGATCCAAATGCTGAAGATACCAGAGGAAGCCAAGGGACATCATGTAGTGATCCAGAAGAGTGTGGGGATGGGTCCGCCGAGGGGCACACAGCAGCCTCTCTGCAGGACCCTGATAATGATTCTCGGCAGCCTAGTCCTGTTGGCATTCTGTCCAGGGACCGCAGCTCGGTTCTGGGAGAGGTGGCCCCTGTGTGGATCCCAGATGCCCAGGCTCAGGTGTGCATGAGGTGTGGGGTCCGCTTCACCTTCACCAAGAGGAGGCATCACTGCCGCGCCTGTGGGAAGGTGAGGAAACATGGTTCCTGACGTTTAATTGCACATAAACAGCATGCAGTTTCTGCTGGCCTTTATAAATTTGTGTTTTTATAAATAATGATGTTTGTGTTCAGGTTTTCTGTGCATTGTGCTCCAATCTCAAGTTCAAGCTCACACACCTCGATGGAAAGGAGGGTCGTGTTTGTGTGGCATGCCACTCTACTTTGGTTAACAGTAAGAAAAGTCACTTTTCTTTGGTGTTGTGTTATGGCCATAAATTGTCCACAATCTGCATTATATAAATTGTAGCAGACCAGGCAGTAGGGCCATCTGCAGTTCAAACTTAGATTTTTTGATAAATTCTAAGTTAGGGGGTGGAACAGTCTTCAGACTGTTTAAATCCCACCCTAGCTCCAGTCCATACTGTTGTCAGGCTTAAGTATTTCTTGTGACAGCAGACACGTTGGGATAACTTTCCCCAATAATGTTTCCTCTTCATAGCAAATTTCTGCCCTATACAGTGTATAGCCGAAATTGCTTTTATAGCTGTTTAACATCCCTACTGTATTTTTATTAGGGACACCTCCAAAGGGAAAGCGGAGGGTGTGGTTTGCAGATGAAATCCTGAGTAGTCAACAGTCTGAGTCTGCTCCCACCACACCAGTGCGAGGGCCCATGTTCTCCCCCCTCACGAGGCGCACACTTGCTCCTTTA